AAGGAAAACTTGTGTTCATGTGTTTCTGCATTATTTAGAGGATTTTTGTACAATGTCTTTAAATCTTCAGGTTTGAGTTTATTAGTTGGTTCATAATATCTCACTTTATTAACACAACAAATGCCTTTTATAGTTATTAAATCTTTTATTTTGAACAATATTCCAACAGATCTATAAAGATCCAGTGGATTATTAGTTGGTTGCATTTCTGAGGTTGAGCTGCAGGTCATGAAGGGCAGCAGAGAGAGAGAGATGCAGCAGCAGCAGCAGAGAGTCGCTGCAGCAGCAGCAGCAGAGAGTCGCTGCAGCAGCAGCAGCAGAGAGCTGCTGCTGCAGCAGCAGCTCTCTGCTGTCATTAGCATTAGCGTCGCTCTCTGCATTACCTCCAGGTCTTACTGGCTGTAATTAATCCTCTAATTCTCTGGTGTTGGTGGAGGAGCCTCTGTCTGCAGCCAATCAGCTGCATGTTTGTGTTTCTGGGCGGAGCTTCAATCTGTTGAAGCAAAAGGAGCTAAAAGTTTAAAAGTTTTTCATTTTTCACCTATTTCTAAACCAAAATGCAAAAAAAAAAAAAAAAAATTATGTAACTTTTTAATGGAGAGTGACTAAATTAAATTGATATCAAAACATGCATGACATGAAGCTTTTTAAGAAAGTAAAATACATTTTCTGATCAGTTAGAATAAATCATTAATTTTTTCTTTGAAAATGATCTAATAATATCTTTTTCTGAAATAATTGTTGAGTAAATCCGACCCTGATGCTTTATTTGCTGCCTGAAGCCCCCAGGAGCAGATCAGAGTCTAATCAACATGATGCTGAAAAGAATCTGCGCTTCCTGCTCGTCGTGGTGAGTCACTGCGCCGCGCGCCGCCCAGCCGCACATGAAAGTGGAATTAGTGCCGGTTAATTCGTCCTGACAGTTGGAAATGTTAAATCCTGCAGGGGCTCAGCTTAGCGCGCCGCGCTCTGCCTAAGTAGGTTAAACACAAACCGGAGTGATCAATCTGGAAACGCTCGACTGAAACTATGGAACCGGCTGGAAACTCCTGGAAACCAGCAGAACCAGCAGAACCAGTGGAACCAGTGACCATCCAGGTCCAGTTGTGTTCTGGCTCAGGAGCTTCTGACTCCAGAACATCCAGTTCTGAGATGAAGAAGAATTTATTTGTCCTCCAATAATTTGGTGAAATAAATTTCAAAGTTCAGATTTTTATGTTTCTCCGTTTTTATTTTCCCTCTTTTAAAGCAGCAGGATGTAACTTTCAGAAAGAACACGTTGTTTACAGATCTGTTCCAAAAACAGCCAATCACAGCCAGGGGCGGGGCTAAGTGCTGTCAATCAACTAATGGCTAATGGAGGACAAACTACTCACTGTCCCAGGAAAACCGTTTATTCGCCATCATCAGTGACTGACAGGGAGCAGCGGCGCACTCAGCCTTGATTGACAGCACTAGGCCCCGCCTCCTGCCTCTCATTGGTTGTTTCTACTTTTCACTGGGAGAAAACAGAGCAGATCAATTTTTCATTGATTATTGTCTCATAGAAAACTGGAGACCATTTAAAAATATTTTTATAAATTACATCCTGAACCTGAAGCAGCAAACAATTTATCAATTATTTCCAAAATAAATTCAAAAGATTCGCATGATTAATATTTTCAAGAGCAAGTTTACAGAAACATTAATCCATTTGATTTGTGGTTGTTGTGCTTCATTATGAATAATTACATTAGAAATCGATTGTCGGGTTGTTTGGGTTTTATCTGGTTTCTGTTTGCTGCAGAGCAAACAGGTTTCCAGCACCGGTTACCACGGCGATGCCTGGCAGGCAAAAAAACAAACCAAAAATCTGCAGGGAAAAATAAAAAACATAATAATTATTAATAAAACCAAACATCCTGTTTTTACAGTGAATCATGAGGAAAAAAAATACTGCAGAAAATCTGACAAATGACAGAAACACATAAATAAATGCAAAATAAAAAGTGATTGTATGCTATGAGGACAATAAATGGAATCAGTAAATGCAGTTTTATTGTTGAAATGAATCCCATTTTGCCTCCTGACCCTCATGAACTCTCTCTCCTCTGTGGATGTAGGCCAGCAGCTGCAGACTCACCATCAGGCTTTATGCTTGTTATTATTATTATTTTTAGCCGGATGCCATTAGTCCACGGCTGCGTGAACGTGCGTGTCGCCTGAACTCTGATCAGATGTGATCAGTTTCCGCTCAGCTTGTTCTGCAGCAACTCAAAGAGGCAGCGGCATAAATTTCTCTGATTTCATGCAGCAGCAGCTGCAGGGAGTTTTTCCTCTCAGTCCGTCTGTCAGGCTGCAGCGGGGCGGCGAGGCGGCAGGCGGCGAGGCGGCGGGCGGCGAGGCGGCGGGCGGCGAGGCGGGGCGCGGCGGCGAGGCGGCAGGCGGCGAGGCGGCGGGCGGCGAGGCGGCAGGCGGCGAGGCGGCAGGCGGCTAGGCGGCGGACGGCGAGGCGGCAGGCGGCGAGGCGGGGCGCGGCGGCAGGCGGCGACGTGGCGGGCGGCGAGGCGGCGAGGCGGCAGGCGGCGGGCGGCAGGCGGCGGGCGGCGAGGCGGCAGGCGGCGAGGCGGCAGGCGGCTAGGCGGCGGACGGCGAGGCGGCAGGCGGCGAGGCGGGGCGCGGCGGCAGGCGGCGACGTGGCGGGCGGCGAGGCGGCGGGCGGCGAGGCGGCAGGCGGCGAGGCGGCGGGCGGCAGGCGGCGAGGCGGCGGGCGGCGAGGCGGCGGGCGGCGAGGCGGCGGGCGGCGAGGCGGGGCGCGGCGAGGCGGCGGGCGGCGAGGCGGCGGGCGGCGAGGCGGCGGGCGGCGAGGCGGCAGGCGGCGGGCGGCGAGGCGGCGGGCGGCGAGGCGGGGCGCGGCGGCGAGGCGGCGAGGCGGCGGGCGCAGGTGGCGAGGTTTCTGGACATTGATCTGCTCAAAAACCGCCAGAATGTAACCGTTACCTAGCAACCCCACCAGAGTTCCGCCCGTTACCTAGCAACCCCACCAGAGTTCCGCCCGTTACCTAGCAACCCCACCAGAGTTCCGCCCGTTACCTAGCAACCCCACCAGAGTTCCGCCCGTTACCTAGCAACCCCACCAGAGTTGGCAGACCGCTGCACCTCTGTGCAGAACAAGATTTGTTCTAAACTATCTAAAATCTGTAAAAGCTTCTGAAGGTCTCTTATTGAGAAAAATTACCAGCAGAATCTCAGCTTCCTGTCAACTTCCTGTCAACTTACTGTCAGCTTCCTGTCAGCAGCTGAAACCTACAGATTCCAGAGCCACCTTCATCTTCATCTTCCTCATCCTCAGCCTGGCTGTTTGCAGATTAATGACAAACCTGAGAAAATGATGAATGTTTGTTTACAGGTTGCCGTTAATCCCGTCTTGATTCGTTCCTCCGTCTGAACCTTCAGATTATCGTTAGCTTCCAGATTTAGCGACGCGCCGTGAGTCACAGAATCTGCTGCGTTTACATGTCTGGATGTTTCAGAGGAAAAACTTTAACAGGAGGAATTTAAAAACGGGGCTCATCACATGCTAATGCTAATGTAGCGTTAGCATAAATGTGTATTGTTATTTCTAGAATATTTTCTGTTTATCAGGATTAAAGTCACTTTATGTACAGGAAACATTTAAAATAGTGATTTTTAAATTATGACACTTTAACAGTAAAATATTTATAATTATATTTTTTTGTTTTATAAGAAAAGAAAAAATATTTGAAATGAAAATGCTAGCTAGTGTTAGCATGGTAGCACAGCCAGCTGCCACAGGAAGTTAGTACAGCAGCAGGTAAACTCGATTCTGATGAATTAATCTAATAATTGTGTTTTTATTGATTAACAGAAATAAAGTTTTGGATCAATAATCTGAAATCTGACTGCAATAAATGGAGGTTTGGTTCTGGACCCGGTTCGACCCAAACCGTCCGGCTGCTGCAGGTTTTCTGGGGCGTTCCCATGACGACAGAATCAGACCCAGACGTGAGTCAGAACCAGAACCGCCCAGCCGGGCCGGGCCGGGCCGGGCCGGGCCGCTCCGACGGCACCGAGGTGGCGGCCTGTTACTGTGTGTCATGGCGACGCCCTTTAACCCCGCAGGACGATGATGTCAGACGGCCTCCGCCCGCCATGCGTCACCATGACGACCAACGACTCACAGTGACGCAGACACTGGTTCTGTCTGCTGCTGGGTCGGTTTGGACCAGAACCAGGAACAGAACCAGGATAAATAGGATTTGTTTTTTTCTTTCCTCTTCAGACAGCAGCAGCAATGCATGCTGGGAGCTGCAGGTATTAATGAGGGTCAGTTGGAGGAGGCGGGGCTTGAGTGACGTCACCTCGGTTACTGGATCACCTGCAGGGGTCACCGTGGGGTCAGGACATGAACCGGACCGGAACCGGTCAGGTGTTCATCAGCCTCCTGATTGGCTGGAGTCACATGTGGATTCAGTTCATCAAACTCTGACAGTTTTTATCAGATGGAACAGAAAACGTTTCTGTTCTTTTCAAATTTTAGGATTTTTATATTACTGTATAAAAATAATAATTTGCCATTTTTTCTTCCAGATTTTGTGAATCCTCCAGCTTTTCCTTCCGTCAGATTTTATCCTCCATTAAAGGAGAAATCTGCAGAATAAATCCAGTTTGTTTGACTCATTTCTGACTCACAGCTCTCTGCTGCCACCTGCTGGTCAGGCGAGCCGCTGAACCCCTGAGGAGGATGATGATGATGAAGTCATCAGGGTGCGCTTCCTTTAAACACAGAAACAGGTAGAACTTTGTAAAGTATTCACACGCAACTGCAACGTTTCAACCAAAATATTTTTAATATTCAAGTAGTGAATGGAAATCTGAAAAGTGTGGTGTGCTGTTTATTCAGCCCCTTTTTAAATAAAAAAAGATTTGGAGGTTTGGTGAGACAGCTGAAGATGTCAGAATGATTCTGAAATCCTGTCTGAATAAAAACCAAAAACTCATCTTCAAATCCTTCATTTATTTACATTATTTTACATAAAGCAGCTGCTGGTTGTGCAGGAGGCCCCACTGCTGCTGATCGTCCACATTCCTGAGGTCCAGACCATCAAACCGTCTGGCTGGTCAGAGGGAACCCTGGTTCTGGTTCTGGTCACTGGACCCCCTTCAGGGTGTGGTAGAGATGTTTGGGTACGACCACGTAGTGGTCGGCGGGCGGCCCCCGCCCGGCCCGCGCCCCCCGCCCCGCCCGCAGCCTCTTGAGCTGCCGCTGCTGCCGGCGGACTTTCTGCTGCGCCGTCTTCAGTTTGCGCCGCAGCAGCTCCAGCTGCTCCTCCAGCTGCTCCATGCGCCGCTTCTGCTGCGCCGAGTCCTCCGCCGTGTAGTTATGGTCGCCGCTCACCGCCGCCGGGTCGCTGCGGCCGTCCGCCGGGCCGCTGCCGTCCACCGGGCCGCTGTGGCCGTCCGCCGGGCCGCTGCCGTCCACCGGGCCGCTGCCGGCCTCCTCCGCTGGCACAGAGTCAGAGGTCACCGGTAGGGAGAGCGGGAAGTCGATCTCTGAGGAGAACGGGTTCTCTAGAGACTCTGACTGCAGGAGAACACCAGACAGACATGATGAGATGGATGATCAGACAGACCACCGGGCCGTGTGACCTCTGACCTTCATGCTGAGGCTGAAGCCGAACAGTGAGGGCACGGCGTTGTCCTTCAGGACCCGGTTGTTGCATTCCCTCTTGAAGCAGTCCTGGGTGAAGTGCTGGGAGCAGATGTTGCTGTACTTGGTGGGCTTGAAGTTGCTCCGCCTCATCGCCGCCACCCACTTCCTGCAGACGTCCGGCCGCGCCAGAGGAAACCTGAGCAGGCCCAAACAGGAAGGGCGGCCATGTTGGTCACTGACTGTCACTGTTTTAACTCCCAGAAATGTTTATGGGGAAGTTGTTAATTATTCCAAAAGAAAGATAAATAATGTTTGTTTCTCACAAAATATTTCTCTCATTTTGACTTTCTTAAACATTCATGTGTCATTAACACTCTGGAAATGTTCATTAATAAAAATAATCCTCAAATATAAGACTTGTAAGCCTAATAATTGTCCATGTAGTGTAAAATAACCATATTTTCATCTTTTATGAATAAATAAATACTTTGTGCGTCATAAACTGCATTTTAAGCCGACTTTAACGTTTGAAGTGCTGCTGTTTTCAGCCCCATTGAGGTGTTTTTAAATATCTAAATGGTAAATGTCTCGATGTTATTACTGTCACATGGAGTAAATCTATTCAATAGTAAACAACATATTTCCGATTTAATCGGACCGAGTAGCACAGATTTGATTAAAAGTGGCCCAGTATCTTAAAATAAGGTAAAATAAATTAATTTAAATAAATCTGTAGGTCATCTATACTGAGTTTTACGGCTCAGTGTAAAAATAAACAAAAAAACTAACTTGGGATGCGTTTACGCCGCGTAAATTACATGCTCTAAGCGATTTACCGATAACGTTATCAAATTCAATCAACCATGATCAACAGCTTTAACTTTTTAAGAGCTCAGAAAAAAATTAACTAAACAACATGATCAAAGCTTGAAGCGTCCTGTAGTTTTCTGATTACTGACTCGCCATTTATATATGAGTTATTTAGATTACGAGGTGTAATTGAACACATCGTGAAGTTGCCGCCTCCACTACATCCCTACCGTAATAAGCCATGCAGAAGCGCGATAATATTTAAGTGTTTCTATTGGCTATAGCGATAGCAGCTAAAGAGTCCCGGCGCTCAGCCCTGGTTCCGGTCCACTTACTTGTGGAACGAGATGTCCTTGTCTTTGTGGTACCGGTTCTTACAGCCGTACGCTGAGCACGTCTGGACCATGTTTCAGCCCAAACAGCAGCTGCTCCTCCCGGGCTGAACTTCGCTGCTCTCCCCCTTCACTAAGCAGCCAAGGCTTCACCGCCAGTAACAAAGATGGCGGGCAAGCTCCAGTCACGTGACCTCCGTTCTTACATGTGATTGACGGAGGCTTCTCCATACAAAACAAGGACTTTTTGAAGCTTTTTTTTATTACTTTAATAAATATTTTATCCACACTGAAGCCAAATGTTACTAATTTATTTATCATTTCTGTGAGATAATTTATGACAAATTTTAGCCAACAAAAAAAAAATAAACAAATATTTTCTAACAAGGAAACGTTTTTTAAATTCAATTCAGAAGAAATGTATTTATTCCAAAGAGAAATTAAGTTTACTGACTCACATCCTGCAAGTATCTTATAGAGTCTATGTGGAAGTTGCTGCTGTGGGCAGGAAGCAGCTCCAGAAGCAGTCAGTGTTGCATCAGTCCGAAAAAGCAGTGATTTTTTTTCAATAAAAACAGAGTGGTGTGTTTTGGTGTGAAGCGTTTTTTATTAAGCAACAGAAACACTGAAAACCAGAGTAAACTTGCTGACAACCTGCGTAGAAACTGTTTCAGTGAGTTTGTCCCTACGAGCTTCCGTAGACGGACTCCAGCTGTGAAGAATCTCCAAACTGGAACATCAGAAACTGAGAAGGAAAATCGAGGAGTACGGGACGTGATTTGTCCAGTTTTTAAATGAGCTCACAAACGCAGCGCTGCAAAAACCAACAGAAAGGTACAGAGTATTTCTGATGTATTTACATTAGTTATTAAAGCTGATATGACATTAGAAGCTTTAGAAGCAGCAGAACCAAATGGGATCCAACTCATTTTCTTTAAGTACTTTTAGGGTTCTTCCTTAAATGACTCAGTTCTGTTCTTTTTAAAATATTCTTTCTTTACTTCCTGCAGCTGATCGGATCTGATCTGCCGTCCTGCAGGTCGGTTTGACCCGGAAGATTCACTAAAATCTTACAAACTTTTATATTCCACCTTTAAAACACGACAGAAGACGCTCACATCTCACCTTTAAGAGTTTTTCTCAGTTGGTTCCAGTCAGAAACACAAAATGGAGCTTGAAACTGCAATGTGACACTTGACCTGCAGGGGCGACGCCGCGAGACCCGCAGGGGGCGACGCCGCGCGACCCGCAGGGGGCGACGCCGCGCGACCCTTTAGGAAACTGAAGCAACGTTTCCATAATTATGTCTGAAGAAAGTCTAACGATGGGAAGCGATACCGTCACAGTGTCAGTGATGATGAGGAGGCTTCAGGGTTAAAGGTCATAGGAAGACCAGTGATGAAAAGCTCAAAATAAATGCTGACTAATGATAAAAACCCAGGTCAGCTGGTCATTCACAGCTGCAACAAACATCTGTTCATGTGGCTGACTGACAGCCGGCTGAGGCTCAAACCTTCTGTGATGTCATCAATGATTCACTCTAACTCCTCCCACCTTAAACAACTCATCCTGATTGGATGGGAGTGTCAATCAGGAAGTCGTTAGCATAACCCAGAAATTAATCTGTCCGAACAACTCTGGGGTCATGACCTCTTGACCCCAGAGGGCCAGAAACCCCTCTGCAAATAAAAACTGAACCCAAATGTGTCAAAATACGGGTACCGAGGTTCTGCAGAACTGGACCGGGCTAAAACACTGTTTGACCAGAACCGAGACAGAAACCTGCAGAGCTGCAGTTTGATTAAAGGAACAGGAAGTTGGGTTTATGTACACATGACCCGGTCAGACAGAACCAGGCCCGGTTCTGGTTCCAGGTCCAGTTCTGCGATTCTGGACCAAATGAGTCCAAAAAGCCGGGAAAGTGTTTCCTAAAGTGGTCAGAACCCTGAAACGGTTCTGGAGTCTCGGTCCATCCCCTGGGGGACAGGACTCTGTAACGCAAAGCATCATGGGAAGTGTAGTCACGGCGATCAAGCTCCACCACTGAGCCGCTCAGCCCTCCGACCCAGATCGGTCCTGTTCCAATCAGACGTTCATCAGAACCGACTTGTTCAACATCCTCTTCCTGACTGGGTCCGTTTCCATAGCAACCGTCGTGAAGGTCGACTCCAGGAGAAAAACAGTGAAGAAGAAAATCAGTTTGAGTTTTTGGTTCCGACGTTCGGACCCGGGACCGGCTACTCCTTCTCATCCTCTTCGTCCTCCTCCTCTTCCTCGTCCTTCGTCCGTCGTCTTCGCCCTTCTGCTCCGTGTCGTCCATGTCTGTCCCCGCCGTTCTTTTCCCCGCCGTTCTTTTCCCCGCCGTTCTTTTCCCCGCCGTTCTTTTCCCCGCCGTTCTTTTCCCCGCCGTTCTTGTCTCCATCATTTTTCTCCTCGCCGTCTTTGGACTCGTCCTCGTCGTCAGAACCCTGAAAACACAGAAGGTTTCCGGTCAGAACCGGTTCCTGACCCAGTTCTAGTTCTAGATGTCTGATCTTCATTAATATAACGCCTACTGCCCCCTGCTGGTAAGGAGGCATAAGGCTCCATCAGAACTCAGTTGTTTACGTCACAACTGAGAGCAAAACTTTAAACTTATCATAATTTATAATAAATACAAAATGGCAAATATGGACGGATGGATCTTTGGATCCGATCTCTCCGTCCAGTTAACATGGCCGCCTCACAGTGAGGACTAAGGAAGCCTGATTAGGTCTCAACCAGTTTCCATGGCAACCATCTATGAGTCCTACCATCACAAACGTCAACAGTTTGTTGAGCTGGTGGACTGCAACGGGACCTGGCGGTTGCTGCAGCCCGGTGGTGGCAGCATGGTGCTGTGGTACCTGCTTGACGCGGCTCCGCCTCCTGTTGGGGACGCGGGCCTTCATCCTCCGGGACAGCGCCAGCAGCTTGTTGTGCCGCTGCCTCCGCTTCTCCTTCTCCGCCTCCTCCTTCCGCTTCTCCTCCGTCTGCTCCGAGTCCGACTCCTCCTGCCTCTGCAGCCGGCTCCTCTTCCGCGGCTGGCTGCTCCTCCGCGGCTGGCTGCGGCCCTCCTCCTCCTCCTCCTCTCCGGGGCTGGAGGAAGAGGAGCTGTCATCGCCGCCCAGGAAGGAGCGCTTCCTGCGGCTCACCGAGCGGCTGTCGTCGCTGGAGCTCCCGCCGGACTCGCTCCAGTCCCGGTCCGCCTGCTCGCTGTCCTCCTCCGGGGAGCTCTGGAAGTCCGACTGGGACCCGGAGGAGGAGGAGGAGAACGAGCCTTCATCGCTGTCGTCCAGGATGGAGGCGGGAAGGCCGATCTGGCGCTTCTTGGAGGCGGCCACCTTGGTCTTCCTCATGGAGGCGAACATTTTCCGCTTGTAGAGGCTCTCCATGTCCGCTGCTGCTGCCGGGGCTCAGCCACGAAAACCCGAAAACTAACAAAAGCAGCAAAAACAACAAAAACAGCAAAAACAGCGCCGGGGTCAAAACAAGCTACAGTCTGCGCATCAAAACATCTGGAGAAATAAACAACATGGCGCCCAGATTAACCTCCAGGAACGATTATTCCCACTTTTCTTCTCCTAATCCTTCTTCTGTAATCCTGACACCGTGAATTTTCTCCTTAATCCTCGGTTTTTTCTCAGATTTTCGCCCCGCGGAGCTGCTTTTACCTGGATTATTGTTGTAGCTTCTGATCTTCTTCTCCCGCTGGATTTCTGCTGCGCGGAACAGCAGCGCCCCCTCAGGCCAGTCTGGGAAACTACAGAACCGTCCCAGCAGCGCCCCCTCAGGCCAGTCTGGGAAACTACAGAACCGACAGCTCTGAAAGTGGTTCCGTTCAGGCCCAAGTTCACATGCACATGTTCAGTATTACTACTGTTGGCAACATTTACCCAGTTAATGAGATTATTAAAATAATATAACATCTAATTACATTATTGAAAAAGAAAAACAAATAAATGAGTTCGGAGTTTTGCAGGTTTTTTGGATACTTTGGAGATGAAAATATGTGCTTTAGATTTCTGGAGGGGTTCATAAGAGTTTATTAAAATGTTATTTTAAATACAACATAAAAGTTTACACTTTGTATAAGCATTGTACAAAAAACTTGTTTTTGAATAATCTGGAACAATGAATAAATATTTCTTAGCAAGAGGAAACTTCTATGCAGTTTCTATACAATAGCATTTCAAGCCTGAACAATAAGATTCAATCAGTTTGGATGAAAACAAGAAAACAGTTCAGTACATTTCTTTGTGTTTGAAAGGTAATAATGTTCCAAAACTGGAGTTTTTTATGGTTAAACCAGATTAAAGTTATAAGTTGATAATAGCTGCATGTGCAACATAAACATGGAAACAATTGATCATTTATTATTGGTTCTGTCTGCAGGAAGCCACTAAATCATTCTACAAACATAGATGTTGACTATATGAGTATAAAAATGGAAACATTTAAACTTTTTAAACTAATAAATGTTGCTGTTTTTTCTAGAAAATGTATTTTATTGAAATTTGCTCTTTTCTTCAAACTACCATCGTTTGGTAAAAACTTCACTTCTTTCATATCAGATTAAATTACTTGTAACACATTAATTTAACAGTTTTTGGAGTTTTTTTAACACCATCAGTAAAAGTTTATGGTTTTATTCACAGGATGAGTTGAAGCAAAACATGTTAGATTGAAATGAATAAATATTGGAGCCGATTTAATCACTTTTACTTCCTTCCTGAACCTCAGGAAAAGGTTGTGAATGTTTTTGGTGCTTGTTTATTAAATATTAATTTATTTTCTTATTAGTGCAAACATTCTTCTCTCTATATATTCTCTTTCTGTTTGTCTGCGTTCCCTCTGCTTCTGTTGCAATAATAAATGATTTCTAGTTTCTGTACATCAGTTTATTGACAGTCATTTGACCTGAAGGATGATCTGAACTGTTTTTATTTCATTTTATCAAACATCTTTATCTATTCCACCTTGATGTTTACACTGATGCCAGTAAAACAACCAGGAAATGGAGAACAGCTTCCAGTATCTATGCAGTGAAAATGATTCATCAGGCTTTTTCTTCCTGATTTATTATAAACTGGGATTAAATTTATTGCTCTCATAATTGACTCTGTGACCTTGGAGATTAAACTTTACCTCGTTGTTTACTTCAGATCTGCACTGACCTCGTTTGGGTTTTTTGATGACAGAAGTGTCTTGTCAACTTGTTTTGAGTTGAACTCTCTCCTGAGCAGACATTAATAGCCATCTGTTTGGCTATTGATCTTAAACATGATGTTCAAACTTTGTCTGAATATTCACCACACCACTCAGGCAGCTGCAGCTCCACATGCTGCACAAGGCGCCTTTTCTCCCTGCTTGTGAGCCTCCAGGCCCCCAAAATGTCTCTGCACGCCCCTGGATCCATGTACAATGTTCTGATTTGATGAGGCACCTGGACAGGTGAGCAAACATTATCCAGGTTTGACTTCATGTTATAAAATAATGATTTTTATAGAAAACAAAGACTGGATGTTTAGCAGCAGTTAATGTTTCATTGAAGGTTTTGTTTTGTCAACATGATAAAGTGTCAAGGCTTTCTCTGAACACAGCAACAATAAAGTAATAAAGTAAAATGAGGGGCGAGTGAGACTCCTCCTCTGCTCTGGTCTTCATAAGGAGGAACCAGAGCAGAAGGAGCTCAGATCTCTGATCACCTGTACAGGTAAAACTTCTTCTTCTTTGTCATTTCATTGACTTTTCTCTTCCTTAGTTTCCAGAACGGCTTTGCTGTTGTTGCTTTTTGATGCGTTAGCCTGCTTCGTGTTGTTAACACAGGTCCATCCTGATGGAGTAGTTTAGTGAAGTTTCTTCTATCAGAAGCAACTCAAAGCCTGATGATAATCTGAAGTTGTGTTGTGTCTGCAGCTTGCTGAGTCATGGCCTCCAGCCTCCCTCTCATCGTTCTGCTGCTCTGCTGTGTGGGCCTGGCTCACTCATACCTGAGGGTCTACGACCTCAGGGCCCGAAATCTGAAGCCTGACAAGTACAGCAAACCAGACGGCTTCGTGAAACTCTTCTATGGATCCAGAAATATGGGTCAAACGCCTGTTGTGCAGGGTAATCGAGATCCTTCATGGCCACAGAGCTTTACTTACTACGGTGCCACAGCGGGAGGCCGACTGATAGTCAGAGTTTATGACAAGGACGTTTTCTCCGATGATTATCTTGGAGGCTGCTCAGTTGCAATCAAGAGAGGAAGCTACAGCGGCAGCTGCAATCTGAACACTGGAGGAACCTTGTATTTACGCTACAGCTTCAGCTGAGTTGGGTGTTGCTGTCCTGCTTCATTGTGTCTGACAGAAATAAGTTTTACATCACTGCATATGTTTAGGAAACATGAATGATAGTATCAGATTCCAGCTCAATTATGAAAACTGACAGGATAAAAATGTTCAAATGTCTGAGCTGAAAGTAAGAAATAAACTTATTCAACCAAAATGCATTGAGTCTGGCATTTTTTCCTTGTTAGAGATGAAATAGAAAATATTTCCAGGAACATTAATGAACCTGATTCAGATATGACTGTTTATTTGGCTGCTTTTAAACTTTCAGTTGAATAAAGTTTGACACCTGGTTGGAAGTTTTATTATCGACTTAAGAATTCTTCAAAGTTACGTTTATACCTAAGCTTTTATTTTGAAGGGCATAAAGACCATGCAGCAGTTCCTTTTCTTCTCCTCCTGTTTCCTGTTACATCACATTAACCAGAAATGTTAACAGCTGATGCTAATGCTTTAGCAGAAATTAGCATTAGTTTATGCTAAATTCTGTGTTGATGCAGCACTTTAGCATTAGCTTCTGCTGAATGTCTTATTAGCCTAGCACTTTAGCATCAGTGGAGCTGACCTTCACTTCACCGACACAGTGAAGGTCAGCTCCACTGATGCTAAAATGCTAGGCTAACAAGACATTGAACTGAATCTCAGATTTTGCCTCTGAGCCTCAACAGGCGAATGAACCAAACTGAAGACGGGCGTTTGGGTGAAACTTTAAGTCAGACTTTAATGCTGATTGAAACAAAAATAGACGTTAGACAACATTACTAACTGCACTGATCCGTTTACGTCGGCCTTTGACCCCGATGCCTTCAGGGTCACGACTTTTGTGCCAGGAGCGTGCTGAGTTTGATCTTCCCGTCCATGGAGGCCGTGAGGCAGGTACCGCAGTCGACCGCGGAGCACCAATCCACCGTCACCACCGGAGCTTTGTGTCCGCCCAGCGACAGCACCCGATCCAGCGCCGGCTCCCCATTGGTCAGCTGGAGGAGGAGGAGCAAAGAGTCAGAGTCCCTCCCTCCGTCAGGTGGGGCTCCGGCGGGAGTCCAACCCGGGTTGGGCTCCGGCGGGACTCACCTTTAGCTAAAAACCCCATTAGCATGTTTGAAAGAGCATTACAACAAAACTAACACAAATAAAGCAACTTTTGTTTCACACCTGCCACTGATTCTACCATTCAAACCTTTAGCTAGGCTAGCGCTTACAAAGACGCTACAAAGGAGCAGAAGGACTGATGATGAGGAAGGTGATGAAGGGTACGCACTCGGTAGATGAGGCCCCCGGAGCTGGAGCAGGTCAGGACGTGTTGGCCCTCAGAGTCGAAGGCAAACAGTCTTCCTCTGGGAACCTGAACCTGTAGATCAGACAGCACAGTTATGCTAATCCGCTAATAGCACAGCTCATTTTCTGCTTAGCGCGTTAGCGTTAGCGAAGCTAATGTTTATGATTATCAGTTTGTGGTTAGCACAGCTAACTGTTAAGCAAGAGATCAATGAGACTCGCCTGTTTGTAGCCGCTGTAGCCCGACAGGACGAAGGGCCCGGTGGCGTCCTGAGGCAGAACCTGCTCCGACTGCTTCACCCCGCAGCGGTGGATGTTCCACTGGATCAACTGAACACAAACACACCGACTTCAGTCCAGGAGCGGTGGAACCAGCAGTGGAACCAGCAGCAGTGGAACCAGCAGTGGAACCAGCAGCAGTGGAACCAGCAGTGGAACCAGCAGTGGAACCAGCAGCAGTGGAACCAGCAGTGGAACCAGCAGCAGTGGAACCACAGCAGTGGAACCAGCAGTGGAACCAGCAGCAGTGGAACCAGCAGCAGTGGAACCAGCAGCAGTGGAACCAGCAGTGGAACCAGCAGTGGAACCAGCGCGGTGCCTGCGCTCACCTTCCTGTCCTCCCCGACGCTGAAAACCGTGTTTTCGTCGTAGCTGAAGTCCACGCTGTACACCTCTCCGTCATGAGCCCTCCAGCTCATGGCGCTCTCGTAGCGCTGCATGTCTGCAGCGGGAGCAGACGCACCAATCAGTTCCACCAAACATAACTATAGACTGCTGACCGAGTCATTTCCAACACCAACCGAACAGCCTGATGACGCCGTCAGCGGCGCCCGTCACCAGCAGGTTCCCGTTGTGGTTGAAGGCGGTGCAGTTGATGGCTACTGGTTCTGGTTCTAGAGAGAACTGGAGCTGGGAGACAGACAGGATGAAATCGACAACATGGAATTATTTTCAAAGGTTAAATGTTCTCCAGGCATCAGAAGACAAACTGGGTCTCAGTTAAAACAAACTTTTAATTCATGATGTGAACAGTTCTGAGCTAACTGCCTGATCCCTGATATGTTGCTAAGCTAGTTAGCTCCCCACCTGCTGTTTGACGGTCTTGGTGTCCCACAGCAGTAGCTGACCGGAGACCGGGATGGGAAGCCGAGGAGCAAATCGACGCTTCCAAGCGGCTGAGAGCTGCAGCCGAGCAGACGAACGACGAACCGCTGGGGCTGCAGGCTAACGACAAAATACTGACACACAAAATACAAAGTTATCAAAATAAATTCACTCCTCTGGGACAAAGCAGTCCAACTTCTGGACCATGTGGTCCATTTTGACATGAGGTAAATATGTTTAGATTGACTAAAAACAAATGAAAGCAGCTGGTTTACCGTGGATGAGTCTCATCGATGTTCATCTCATAGAGATTCTTCTTGGCTTCTGTGTCGTAGAGTCGCACCGTCCCAACGCCGCTGCCTAACAACAACTGACACACAAACATTCAGTCTCCAGGTTCAGCCTGTGCTAAAGCATCGATCCGTCCTGCGGGCCGTTTCAAGAGGATTTCCAGAGAAGTAAAGTCCTACCAGTCTGTCTGGTTTGGTGGCCCACTCCAGGGACAGGAGAGGAGACTTGGACATGATGGTGGCTTTGGTCTGCATCATGGGGTTGAAGGACCAAACCTTCAGAGGGAGGAGAGAGTTTCTTACAGTTAGTTTGATTTTTCAAAGGTTAGAAGACGATAACATGAAAATAAATGAACCTTTATGACGCCGTCTACGTCCAAACTGGCAACCCGGCGCCCGGAGCTGTCCACCCTGCAGACAGGAAGCCGGTTTGAGTTCAGGTGGAAAGTCTGACGGCGTTCAGGTGTGACTCTGTACCTGCAGTGCATGATGGAGGAGTGATGCTCGCCGTATTCCTCCTGGCTCAGTTTGATGAAGGGCTGCTCCACCTGCAGGCCTCCGTCCTCCGCCGGCTCCATCGCGCTCCTCGCTGCCATCGCGTCCACGTCGTCCGCTCTGCTCTCCGCAGCCTGAGGGAAACGTAAAGCTGAGCTGAAGCTCCTCAGACTCAGAGCGCCGGCCAGGTGAGGCGCACCTGAGGGGACGGCCTGGAGAAAAGCTCCTTCCTCTCCTTCTCGTGCTCCTGGATCCTCCTGTGTCGGCTGTTCTGGTTCGGAGGCTGGGAACTGGGAGCCTCGCTGGACGACGACTGGCTGGAGGCGACTTTCACCTCCTTGGACTGGAACGAGTCTTTACACTTTACAGCCTGAAAATAAATGAGATGTTTCAATGAGAAATAATGAGGAAAAACTAAACCTGTTTTGGTTCAACTCAGTTTTACAGGGAGAATCAGAACCAAACTAAAACCACAGTTTAAAACTTGTGTTGAAGTTTTATTATTCTTCAAGTAATTAGATGTTTACATTCATGCTCTTATTTTGAAGATGCAGCAGTTCCATTTCCCTCTCTTCATGTTCCCAACTTTTTTTCACAATAACTTTATTTTAAAAAATAAACATACACAAACAAAATAAAACACCAATGTTGTATTTTGCCCCTAAACAAGATATAAGGACATAATAGAGCGATTACAATAAAGTCAAAATTAAATTAGCACTTTAGCGTTAGCTTCAACAAATACCAAGTTGAGGTACAATGCATTAGCATTAGCTTCCATTAAATAAGTTGTTGGTGTAGCGCTTTAGCATTAATGGACCAAATCAATCAGTGTTTTAGGGTTAGCACAGCTAACCTTTTTGTTAGCGCTGCCCAAAATGTACCAAAGGAACAACTGAGGTTCCAGGAAGTCAGTCATCAGGATCCAAGAGTTCAGCCGAATGTAAACTGGGCTGAACCTGCTCACTGAGGCAGACAGATGAGCAAACCAATCACCTGATTGGCTGATCAAACCCCTGCTGTCACCTGATTGGCTGGCAGCTCCTTCTTGCCCAGCACCACCTGGTTCGGGGACCCTGAGCTGGGCGGCGGCGCCTTCATGGGGGCCCGTTTGGCCTGTGGCAGCAGCGTGGAGAAGAAGTTCCTGGAGGGCGTGGCGGCGGCGCTGACGACTCGCTGACTCGACACCAAGTCCCTGCGACACACAAGAGTTCAACAAACACAGATGAACTGGTTCAAACCGAGTCCAAACTGAACTGATTGACACGGTAAAAGATTCACCTGGTTTGACAGAAACACCTAAAAATGTTTTATTTGGTCTTAATGACATTGGATTAATTTATCTAAATCATATTTTTATCTTTATAAAAATGTTATTTAACACAGTTTCTCTGATAGTTAATTGATTGGTGCATTTATAGTTAAACTGTGATGGATTCCAATGTCCAGCAGAGACTTTAACAATAACAATAATAATAATAATAATAATAATAGAAAACAAAAACAAGTGGTTGACGGACTGGAAGCGTTGCATTCTGGGAGCAGAACTGGATCTTCCTCGGTTCTGGACGGTTTCTGTGGTCCACTCCAAAGAATCAGACCCGTCAAAAATACAATTTATTCAGGATTCATGTGTTTCCTGCTAAATATTACATTTTATATCATGAATATATTAAATATCATATTTTATATCTAAATAAGAAGTGTTTATGGAACAGGACTGAAATCGATGCCATCCTTTGTTTTGCTTTTCAGTCGGAGATTTTCCTTTTCTTTACAGAAAATCATCTTCACTGCAAACTGATTTCTACAAATGGATCGTAGACAAAGATAACAATTCATCAGGTGAATTGTTTATTTGGCAACATCATCACAGCACACAGTTTAAACTCTAACAGCAGAAATAAATAAGCATCAACAGCAAATCAGGTCAAAACACTGCACATATAAATAAATGTTTATAACACAGAACTGATCAAGTGCATGAAGAAAATCCACCAAAAAGTGATTTAAAGTGTTTTAAATTATAAAGACATGAATCAAGAAAACAAACATTATCTGTCGACATGCAGACATCAGTTCACCCTTAGGACCGCGTTTGTTTCTCAGAACACCTTTTCAACAATCTTCAAACTGAAACGTTAATCTTTACTCAGATGGTTTCGGCTCGATTTGATGCTTGCCAGGCCAACAGTAAATGTAACGGAGCATAACAGCTGCGGCCATTTTGATGTGAATCATTTCATGGCGATGCCTGTAAACATAAGCTAGCGCCGCAGCTCTGAGTCAGAACGGACAGGAAGTTCTGCACAACATGGCGGACGGTCGATGAGGCTAAGTAATGCAGCTAGCTGAAGGAGAGCGCAGCTAGCAAACAGCCAAAATCATGAACATTTAGTCAGGACAAATCAGGAATAAAAAAATGGACAATTAAAAAGGTTCTGATTGAAATAAAACCAGATATATAAATGTTTTAAACCGAATGAGTTAGAATGTTTGATTTACAGGCGCTAATCAATGCTAAAGCTATTTTGGCTCGATAACAAAAATGTTACTAAAATTAGTAATTATTATTGAAGGTATAACTTTCCTTGCTAATATTAGTCATTTTAAAATATTCCTCAAATAATTTGTGAGTAGCAAATAAAGCAATGCTAACAGTGCTAACATTAACACCAAAGCTAAATGCTAGCAATGTTAGCACAACAGCAAGATGCTAAATGCCTGCAACTAAAACCACCAGTTGAAAACATTAGCAATGAAGCAAAATGCTAACACTGGTAATGTAGCAAGGTGATAACATTAGCAAGATAACACTGGCTGTGAAAACAATAGCAGTGAAGCTAATTGCTAACACCAAATAAAATAAACTGTTAACATTAGAAGTAGAACTAAACTGTTGAAATCAATATAAAGCTAAGAGCTAACAACAATAGTGCTGAAAAATATTGCATAGATCAAGTATCTCAGATCTAAAGAAACCTTTAGTACTTTGTTCTTTTCCAGAACATCTCTAGCTACATGCCAGGTGTGTTTTCTGTATTTAGTCTCTTTAACAAACTTCAAAACAACAAAAATCCACTTACAGCCCACAGTGAGTAAATGAGGTCATGAGACAGTTATATATGAGATACATTAGCATTAAAGCTAAGCAACATTCGCTCAACTGCAAAATGCTAACAAAATGATATCAACCAAAATTAGCACTGCACAAAATGCTAAAGCATCAGGAAGACTTTAGCACTAATAGCAAAAGCTGCCAGTATTCACCAAAGACTCAATTCTAACCAAATACAAAATATATGACTCAAATGTCAAACGATTGCATTAAATATTAAACATAACAATCTAATGACGAAGAAGAAAACTTCTATATTAGCAGGAAACTAAATGCTACAATTAGCATCAATTAGCACTGATGCTAAAAGCTGTCAGCATAAATAACAAAACCAGACATTAAATGTAAATATTAAACTTAAATCATTAAAACAAAAGCACTGAGTCTGAATTCTGAGCATTAATTTTAAATGATAAAGAATTAACACTGAAGTTAAATCCTGAGAACATTAGCATTAATTAAAGGTAGCACTGATGATGAAGCTAAAACTGTTAGCTTCATCATTGTTGGCTGTTAGCACCGAAGCTAACAGCAACAATGGCTGTTAGCTTGCTACATTACTGCTACATTAGCTTCAGTGGCTGTTAGCACTGAAGCTAACAGCCAACAATTTTACCACAAAACCAAAAACCCAACACTGAAACAAAATGCTAAAAACATTAGCATTGAAGCTAGAGATGACCAATATTAGCAACAGCAACAACTAGCTTAACTTAATATCAGATAATACAACTGATAAGTTGATGTAACATCAGACATGTAGGAACCACTTTGGGTCAGTAAAATCTGCGCTGTTGGCCGTTTCTCAGCTCGTGTAACAAAATATCACTAAATGTCTTGAATTCTGACTAAAAACAGGCAGAAAGGCAGTAATCAAGCTCCGGTCAGTCATCAGTAAAGAGATGATAGAGGCTCACAGCTCAGTGTCTCCCAGCCGGTCCATGTTCTGGACGTACGGCGGCAGCTTGTGCTGCACCGCCTCGTCTCCGTCCTTCTGGTCCCGGCTCTCGGTCTGCAGGGCGAACAGCTGGAGGAAAAACAATGAAACACAGCATCAGCTGAAGCGTCGCGGCGTCAGAGACCAAACTGCTGGTGAAAAGGTGAAGCCTGCTCAGGCCTAGTCAAAGTCCAGCCTTGACTGAAACGCTGCTCAGAAACCTCAATGAACTGAAGCAGCGCTGGGAATGACAGCAGATCAAACCCAGGTAGAGACCGACTGATCAGCCTGATCCACTGGATCTCTGGCTGCCTGCAGATTCAGAAACACTTCCTCTTCTCACCACTTGGCGGAGCTGTTCGTTCTCCTCAGCCAGACTGGTCATCCTCTGGACCTCGGAGTCGAAGCTCAGCAGAACCGGCTGAGGTGGAGCCCAGTTAAGGAACCAACAGATCCACCTGCAACATGTGATTCAGTTATCAATAAAGCAACATGTCGGTTCGGCTGCAAGGCGACTGAAATAAAATCCACAATTATTCTCACAACATTTGATTTCTTTCTAAGAAATAGCAGAAAATATTCTCAAAAAGCGTATTTTATTCCAGTTATTGATTCTGTGAGTTGTATGATGGGCCTGCTCTGAATCTATTGTTTAATGACAAGATTTCAGCAGAACAAAGTCTTAAAATTACAATAAACTGTTTAAAGAAGAAAAAGATAATTAATATTTTGATTTTATGTTGGAGTTTTTATATAATTACAACTTAATTCTTCTAATATTACGACTTTCTTCATTTATTTCACTTTATTCTTGATAACATTATGATTTAAGTTTTGAAAAAATGTTGCAAGAACCAATTAATCCGACAATAAATCAAAAACTTTCATTCTGATGATTTTGAAACACACTGATCAATGTGATTTTGGTTTCTGTTGTGTGTGGTTCTGTTTACTTGCTCTGTTATCGATATGTTGATCATTTCTGGAACAATTTATCGTCCAGCAGAAATGATTATTAAATGATGATTATTATTTTGGCTCTGAACTCAAGATCCAAAATAAATAAAAGTGGCTAAATATGCCTGTAAAACAAGATGGCCACCCTGGACGCTCTGACTCCAGACTATTGGGAAACAAAAATGAAATGTTTTTCTATTCACCAGAATTTGAACAAATTCTCATTTTCACATCGACCTTCGAAACAAAAGAGGAAAATGAGATGAATCCGTCAGATCGCCTCATCGCCCTGTGAAGGATATGCATGCACTGGAACAGGACTGACAGGAAGTTGTGCAGCGACACCAGGAAGGTGTCGGCCCACTGGCGGGAGAAGTACGGCCCGAAGGCCGGGTTCTGGTCCGGGGTCGGGATGAAGGGCAGGATGAACCAGTCGCGCCACTCGGCCTGACCCTGCAGCTCCAACGCCTGCTTCTGGAAGAACTCCTGCGTCTTCTCCAGGTTTCCTTTCTGCACAGGTTGGAAACGGGTCAGAACCAGAAACGGGTCAGAACCAGAAACGGGTCAGAATCAAAAACGGGTCAGAATCAGAAACGGGTCAGAAACGGGTCAGAATCAAAAACGGGTCAGAACCAGAAACGGGTCAGAATCAGAAACGGGTCAGAATCAGAAACGGGTCAGAAACGGGTCAGAATCAAAAACGGGTCAGAATCAGAAACGGGTCAGAATCAGAAACGGGTCAGAATCAAAAACGGGTCAGAATCAGAAACGGGTCAGAAACGGGTCAGAATCAGAAACGGGTCAGAATCAAAAACGGGTCAGAATCAGAAACGGGTCAGAATCAAAAACGGGTCAGAATCAGAAACGGGTCAGAAACGGGTCAGAATCAGAAACGGGTCAGAATCAAAAACGGGTCAGAATCAGAAACGGGTCAGAATCAGAAACGGGTCAGAACCAGAAACGGGTCAGAACCAGAAACGGGTCAGCTACGTGCACCGAGTCATGAAACCGACGCAGAAATCACACAAAGTCTCAGAAAAACTGTTTCCATATTAATCGTCAACGATGACATTTCACAGGTTTCACAGTGTGAGGAATAGCTGAGCTATGCTAGCTTGACTATGAAACTTTAGCATGTGAATGTGCTGCAGGTTGGTGTGTTTCAGTTGAGGTAACTCTAACATAAGGCGACTGAAGAGACGTTTGTTATAGACGTTCACTTATCAGAATCAACCCTGAAAACTAAAAGAACCTGAAACTGTAACGGACTGAAGGTTCTGTTTTGGTGCTTGAGAATGTTTTAGTGTTTTTGGTTCACATCCAGGTTGATCAGAAACGCTGCTGCTGTGGCCAGTAGCCATGAAAACGGGACGTTGCGTCCAGTACAGTCGACACAAAGCGTTATTTCACGTTTCCTGCCGTATCTCCCGTCTGTCGTGGCGCGCTGCACGGAACGTAACTTTACAGAACCTGATAAGAAACGAGGCGTTACGTGATCGGGTCCTGCTGGGCAGAACAGTCCGGGTCCGACTCGATGCACCCAGCGCCGTCCGGACCGGTGACAGGCAGCCGGTTCTGGATCAGGTACCAGACCTGGACGGTGTTGATGACGTAGTAGCGGTACAGGCTGGTTCTCAGCTTGTTGACGGTGGACCGGTACACGTCCTCCAGCCGGCAGAACAGGCGCCGGTCCAGATACAGCCAGTACTCCTTCAGCCCGGCCAGGTCGAAGTTCTGCACCAGCTGCTGCAGCTGCTCAATGATCCGGTCCACCTGAGGACAGAGGAACCGTCAGAGCGGGTCAGAGCGGGTCAGACCGGGTCAGACCGGGTCAGAGCGGGTCAGACCGGGTCAGAGTCAGAGCGGTCAGACGGGTCAGAGCGGGTCAGAACGGGTCAGAGCGGGTCAGAGCGGGTCAGAGCGGGTCAGAGCGGGTCAGAGCGGGTCAGAGCGGGTCAGAGCGGGTCAGACCGGGTCAGAGCGGGTCAGAGCGGGTCAGAGCGGGTCAGACCGGATCAGAGCGGGTCAGAGCGGGTCAGAGCAGGTCAGAGCGGGTCAGAGCGGGTCAGACCGGATCAGAGCGGGTCAGAGCAGGTCAGAGCGGGTCAGAGCGGGTCAGAGCAGGTCAGAGCGGGTCAGAGCGGGTCAGACCGGGTCAGAGCGGGTCAGACCGGGTCAGAGCAGGTCAGAGCGGGTCAGAGCAGGTCAGAGCGGGTCAGAGCGGGTCAGACCGGGTCAGAGCGGGTCAGACCGGGTCAGAGCAGGTCAGAGCGGGTCAGAGCGGGTCAGACCGGATCAGAGCGGGTCAGAGCAGGTCAGAGCGGGTCAGAGCGGGTCAGACCGGGTCAGAGCGGGTCAGAGCGGGTCAGGGCGGGTCAGACCGGGTCAGAGCGGGTCAGAGCGGGTCAGACCGGGTCAGAGCGGGTCAGAGCGGGTCAGACCGGATCAGAGCAGAGGTCAGAGCGGGTCAGAGCGGGTCAGTCAGACCGGGTCAGAGCGGGTCAGAGCAGGTCAGAGCGGGTCAGAGCGGGTCAGACCGGGTCAGAGGGTCAGACCGGGTCAGACCGGATCAGAGCGGGTCAGACCGGGTCAGACCGGGTCAGAGCGGGTCAGAGCGGGTCAGAGCGGGTCAGGACCGGGTCAGAGCGGGTCAGAGCGGGTCAGAGCGGGTCAGACCGGGTCAGAGCGCAGGTCCAGTCCGGTTCAACGCACCCGGAAGCCTTTCTCCTTGTCTGCCTTGATGTCGCTGTCCAGCTGCTTCAGAGTGTTGGTGAAGCCTCGGTACAGCAAATACTCCCGGACGTGTTTGTCTGTCCGTTCCACCGCAGAACCCATCCCGACCAGAACTGAGACCGAACAGGAAGTGACCAAACAGGAAGTGACGCTCCGCTTGAGTGGAAACATCAACAACAAAAACTGTCAAATCATCAACTAAACACATCTGTTAGGTTTAGTTGTTTCTTTCTTTCAAGCAGAAACATCCTGGGAATCGTTTAAAGACGATTTATCGTCATGATTCTGGATGATAAATCGTTATCGCGATAAATGGTGATTTGTTTTGAGACTATTTTAAACTAATATAACACAAGAACACAAAGATCAATAAACTTTAAATTCTGATAACTCAAAACATTTTAAATGTATAAAACAACAGAAACAACAAATAAAATGAATTATGAGTCTCTGCAAACAAAATGATCCTTCAATAAAAGAAGCAAGTTGAAACTGAAGACTTTTTTTTGGTAGAAACAGAAACGACAAATAATGCAAAAGGAAATTATTGAGCTCATTTTCATTTATATTTACATTTATTGAGTTATTGATTATTTCAACAAGCCTTAGTAGGTTTATATTTGCAATTTCTAGTCCTGGGAATTCTGAATCAATTCACAAATTGATTTCTATATTGCATTATGAGTTCACCGACCACCGGATGCATTTTCAATCATTTTTAGATATTTTCTTATTTAAGAAAAAGCTAAATATTTAAGCTAAGCTAACACTGCTACAGAATTTATGATCAAATCTATTTTTGTTTAAATATAAATAAACTGATTAAATCTGAGTCAGTAAATGTTCTAATTGTTTGCAGTTTTCCTTGTTTCAGTCACATTTAAACAGAATCTTTCAACTGTTTCAATAGAAAAATGGTTTGTGAATTAAAAAATGTTCCATCTCTCCTCATTACACCACCTCCACCATGCTTTATAATCTTAAAAAAAATTTTATTTCTCAGTGTTCTTTAATTTTCCTTTGAACTTTTCATCTCATTTTCAAGGGAATAAAACTTTTCTATCTAATAAAGTGGAAACGGTTCAGTCCTCCAGCCAGGCAGTTTAAAGAACCAGTTAGCTTAAAGAACCTGGGTTCGCCGGTTCTGAAGGTTCTGTAACGGTTCCGGAACCATCTGCCACCCAAACGGAACTTTAAATTAAGCGTTTGTTCCGCTGCAGTTAACACGAGTGACCGTAAACAGACCGACCTGAACAGGTGAGTGTTAATATTTCCTCCGTTAACAGTGAAAGGCAGGAATTTCTGTTTGTTCTGGACCGGAAACCGCCGTTAAAGCTCACACCGAACCGGAACCAGAACCGGCAAATGTTCTGATTTTAGCAGTTAATCCTCCGCAGAGCAGTAACATGTTAAACTCATGTTTTACAATCAATACAAACCAAAAAAGTATATTTACAACCGAGAGGGACGAGCTTCCTGCTGATTCCTTCCGGCTGATAGTCATGTGAGGAAGTCACGTGACCAGAGCCAGGTGGAAACAGCGCCCTCTGCCGGCCAGCCAGTAAAACGATCCAAGTATTATAACGGGATTATTTCCTTTTCTTTGGTTTTATTTAATTGTACAAATTTATGAAATTCTAGAAACAAAACAAATAAATATAAAAGTACTTTATTGTAACAACACAATTAACTCATACAGTAATAAAACTAAAATTACTTCAAACAAGGTAGTTACAGTTGAGGAATAGTTTATATAAAAACAGAAATAACAGGTTATTTTTTAAATTAATTTATCAAACTTTAGAGGAGGAAAAATACTCTGTCCTAAACGCATACTAATAAAAAAACATGATAATATATATGTATTTTACTGGTGGAACATTTAAAAAGAAATATTTATACTTTAAAAAGTTTTTTCTTATTTAATTGTCTTACTGTGACCAGAATCTGTTGTCTGTGAATCTGGTTTTTTGTTTTGGATATTGGATGATAAATGTCTTCCATCTCTCTCTCCAAGGTTATTTCTTCACCTTCAACACTAAATTATTGCAGAAATATATTGCAGCTAATCACGGTAAAAATATTACAACATCATCGAGAACACGTCTTATGAAACCTTTCATTGAACTTTTGAGGCGGAAGCTTTTCGTGTTGGATGAATTTGAACTCACCGGAAGATGCCAGCCTGGTTCCGACCCGGTTCCGACCCGGTTTCTACCGGGCAGCCCGGAAACCCGAACCGGTGGTCGTCATGGTGACAGAATAAACAGTTAACTGCTTTAATATGAAATATTTGGACTTTATTCATTTAGATTAAAATCAAATTATTACCATTTATTAATATTCAGTAATCACAAAAGAAGCACTTCTTTTTTAGATAATGTGATTATTTAAACATTAAGCAGTAAGTTGCTTAATGTTTAAATGTCAAACCTTAAAATATTAATAAATAATGAATATAAAGACAAAAACAGTTCATCAGATTTTAATGGAGGAATTTAAAGTTTTCAGTTAAACTCATAAAGTTTCATCATTTAAACATCTCTTTTCCCTTTGGGATCAATAAATTGATTTTGATTCAAACTTTAATTTGAAATGCGCCGACGCGTTGCCACGGTAACGGAGAAAAAAGATGGCTTCCGAGGCGAGCTGTTGCCATAGCGACGCGTAAACAAGAAGGAGAAGGACAGAAAATGTCCACGAAGAAAAGAGACACAGTGGAGGAGCTGGACGCCTCCAAGGAGGAGGCGGAGGAAGAGCAGGCGGAGGAGGATGAAGAGGAGGAAGAGGAGGCTCCATCCTCAGCCTCTTCGCCTCGACCGAACCCAGAAGACCCGCTGCTCCAGAACATCCCGGAGTCTGTGGACGACTTCCTGCGGAACTTCCTCCGCAGACTGGGCCTGACCCGGACCCTGAGTCGCTTCGAGCTGGAGTGGCACGGCCTGGCCCGGGGCGGCGGCGGCGGCATCTTCGTCCCGGACGCGCTGACCCACCGCCAGGCGCTGCTGGAGCAGCTGGACGCCGTCCGCGGCGACGCCGAGCTGCTGCGGAAGCAGGTGCTGGAGGCGGCGCAGAGCCTGCTGCGCATGCAGCGGGAGAGTGACCACCACCGGCAGCAGCACCGGCGGCTCACCGAGCAGAAGCACGTCCTGATGGAGACCTGCAAGCAGCTGCAGGGATACATGCAGGACTCCGAGGCGGCGCTGCAGCGGCTGCGGGACAAACACGAAGTGGCTCTGCGGACCAAGACGCTCATCGGGCTGCAGAAGGAGCGAGCCCAGAGGCTTCCGGAACCGGAGCCGGAGAAACCCAGCAGGAAGCCTCCATCCAGCAGGAAGCCTCCATCCAGCAGCCCGGGCGGAGCCCCGGAGCCCCGCGGGCCGCCGGCCGGACCGGAGGCTCCGGAGAAGAGCAGCTTCCAGCTGTTCTGCTGCTTCCGGGCGCACCAGCTGCCCATCAGCGGCATCGCGCCGCATCCCGGCAGGCCGCTGCTGGCCTCGGCCAGCGACGACCGCACCTGGAGGCTGTGGGACCTGCCGCGCAGCGGGGAGAAGGTAGGCCGGCTCTGGACGCGGTACATGTGGAACAATGCGGACTTTCCATTAATGTCAAAAATGTTATTTTTTGTTGACATTTTAATTACTGTTACAAAATATTCAAATTAAAATTGAAATCAAGAAAAAAAAAAGGCTCATAAAACAAACTCAGATTCATCGCCATGATGAGATGGATGTTACTACTGACGAAAACAACAAAGAAGAGAAACCAGGAAGTATTTGGATGATTTATTTTTGTTTTTTACACCTGAGCTTTCTCAGCATCACATCTCTTACTCTGAAGGTTCTGTTTATAAACGGCACTGGCGGGCCGGATTTGGCCCCTGGGCCTCCAGTTTGACACCAAAGCTGTGGCAGTGATGCTGTGAATGTTGACGTCAGGTTGCCCGGATGCTGCTGATAGGGGAGGGCCACTCTGATTGGCTGTCAGGCTGCAGCTTCCACCCTGATGGATCCAGACTGGCAACAACCAGCGGAGACAAGACGGTGAGTTTCCATCACACCGGATCCACTTCCGGTTACCGTCAAGGGAATTAGCATATTAGCATATTAGCTAAACATTCAGTTTGGTGATAAATGTCTATCTTATCTAAATATGTAGCTTAAATGTAAACACTTAACTTACTTAGTTTGACAACTAAATATTTAGTTTGAATCTCTCCCACATCCTTCAACACATTTGTTTGTTTTAGTTTAATTTAATGGATTTCCCAGATCTGGCAGGAAACATTTCCTTCCTGTCTCCTGGTTTCCTGTCTCCCTGTCTCCTGGTTTCCTGTCTCCTGGTTTCCTGTCTCCTGGTTTCTTGTCTCCTGGTTTCTTGTCTCCTGGTTTCCTGTCTCCTGGTTTGTTGTCTCCGGGTTTCCTGTCTCCTGGTTTCCTGTCTCCCTGTTCCTGGTTTTGTCTCCTGGTTTCCTGTCTCCTGGTTTCTTGTCTCCTGGTTTCTTGTCTCCTGGTTTCCTGTCTCCTGGTTTCCTGTCTCCTGGTTTCTTGTCTCCTGGTTTCTTGTCTCCTGGTTTCCTGTCTCCTGGTTTCTTGTCTCCTGGTTTCCTGTCTCCTGGTTTCTTGTCTCCTGGTTTCCTGTCTCCCTGTCTCCTGGTTTCTTGTCTCCTGGTTTCCTGTCTCCCTGTCTCCTGGTTTCTTGTCTCCTGGTTTCTTGTCTCCTGGTTTCCTGTCTCCTGGTTTCTTGTCTCCTGGTTTCCTGTCTCCTGGTTTCTTGTCTCCTGGTTTCTTGTCTCCTGGTTTCCTGTCTCCTGACTGCAGGCTCTGGTTTGTGCTGCAGGTCCGGCTCTGGGACTTCTCTGTGGGTCGCTGCGTGCTGCTGCTGTCCGGCCACAGCCAGCCCACCTGGGGCAGCTCCTTCCACTCCGGCGGCCATGTTCTGGTGTCCTGCTCCGCCGACGGGACGGCCCGGCTGTGGGACGCCAGCCGCGGCTGCTGCAGGTGATCCTGCGGCGCCACGGCGCCTCGGTGAACAGCGTGGCCTTCCTGCCGTGCTCCGACCTGCTGCTGACCTCCTCCGCCGACAAGACGGTGATGGTTTGGGACGGGGGCGCTGGGCGTGAGCACCGCCACGTTCCGCGGACACCGCCACCCCTGCAACCACGCCGCCTTCAGCCCCGCCGCGAACGCCGTGGCGTCCTGCGACTCCAGGGGCGCCGTCCACCTGTGGGACACCCGGAAGCCGACGGCGCCGACGGGCATCGTGGACGCCGGGCCGCACGCCGCCAACCAGCTGGCCTTTAACCAATCGGGAAAGCTGCTGGCAGTTGCTAGCGGCGACTGTTTGGTGCGGCTGGTGGAGGCGGAGTCGTGCGGCGTTAGCGCCCTGACGGGACACAGGAGGAGCGTCCAGAGCGTGACCTTTGACCTCCAGGGTCAGACTCTGATGTCGGCCGGTAGCGACGGACTGATCAACGTCTGGCTCTGATGTTTGGACCCGTCAGAACCGACCTGCAGGACCAAGTGCCAGAGAATAAACTTTATGCAGCACTGGAGCACTTCCTGCCGCCGGAGGAAACAGGAAGTGAACGCCGAGTTCCTCTAATAAAGATTCAGATTTACTGAAACGTTTTTATTTGAGTCCGAGGTTCAGAACATCAGCAGAACCGGGCCGGCCCATCTGCTTCAGGACGAGTCCTGCCGGGAGGAGGAGGAGTCCGTCCGTCTTCCTCTCTGACCCGGATCCTCCACCAGCATCTTCAGGCGGTTCAGGTACAGCCCGACTCTGAAAACAGGAAGTGACAAGCAGGAAGTGACAACCAGAAAATTCACCTTGATGAGCAATTTATTAGAAATGAAACTGGATTAAGTGCAATTACAGAAAACAACAATCAAGATGTTTTATTTTATCCTAAAACAAAAAAATCCCACATCATGATGCTGCCACCACCTTGCATCACTGTTAGTAATCAGAGCTGCATTAAAGCTGATGAACACAGTTTTAGAGACAAGTTTATCTGCAGAACTCAGGTGCTTAGTTTTGGATTTTAAAACCCTCAGCATGATGCTGCCACCACCGTGCCGCACTACAGAGGCAGGCTCCATTCCCCCTCATATTAACCAACGTTCCTATTGTCCTGTTGCTCCTTGGTTCCTAAATTGTCTAAAAATGTGAAGAAGCAACACATTTTGCTAAATTTATGAAGAATGGCACATGCAGATTTGACAACTTTTTGTATTTTTTATGGAATAATTCCAACATTGTAAACACAACAACACATCAAATCCTGTTTGGATTCGAGTTAAACGGTTTGAAGTCTGACCTCTTTAACGATGGACTTCCTGGGAAACTCTGCAGCTCTGGATCAACATCGACTTCCTGCAACACAGATCAGCTCCTGCTTTAGCAACTGGACCAGCAGGGGGCGACAAATCACAGAAACACCAGGAACTGAACTGGATACATGTTAGCAATAGAGGTCAGTTTAACCACAACTCTGGTCGCATGTATGGAGGACCAATCCTGGCAAAACTCACATGATGAATGAATAGCTGGAGGAAGCAATTCAACTGTCAAATATCGCATCCAAAGAATATTAAAAGAAGAATTTCACAATTTATATGATTATACAGAGTGACATATATTTATAATTTTCAACAGTAATATTTCATATTTGTATTAATTACTTTTTTCAAATTTTTTCCATATTGTGAATATATTTAATAAAAATGTAGAACTTTCCTATTTTATTTCATAACATTTTTCATGTTTTCCACATTTTGTATTTAAATTTCTTTTATCAATATATCATAGAAAACAAAAATGATAACTAAATAGAAACAATGTGATAAAATGTGAGTAAAAGTGAAAAATCATGTGTAAATTAGAGCAAAATAAATAAAAAACGTAAAAATTAAATTGTGACGGCTGGGAATCCTTCAGAGAGGAGTGTCGAAAGGTCAGAGTTCAATAATCGGGTCGTCATTCTGCAGAACTTATTTTGCTACGTTCAGATAAAACGGGTTCTGCTGAAGCTCCACCTGCTTCTCCGGCGTCCTCTGCCCGTCGGCGTCGATCCGCTGCCTCTGCAGCTCCGCCTCCACGGCCTGCAGCCGGAACAGCATCTGCTTCATGGCCTCCACCGGGCCGGGCTGCGTGCAGCTCTCCTTTTCATGGTAACCGCCGCTCAAAACCTGACAGCGCCAATTCAGTGATTGGATTATATTTTGAAGTGCGATTGTGAGAAATATTAGCAAATAAAGTGAAGATAAAGAGATTAAATATTTTGTGTTTATTCAACTGATTTAGCATCTTAGCTTCCGATAAACTCATCAGTGTTATAATAATCAGAACTGGAGCATTGAGGGCGATCAGTAACGCCCGTCAGGGCAAGAGTTACCTCCTCGTCCAGCAGAGTCTGATCCGAATCCAGCTCTGTGGTTCCGGAGGTTCTGCAGGTTCATCAAAGTTTGAGTCACTGAGGGAAATCTGAACGGGCCAATCATGTCAGGAAATGGATCTTACAGCGAGGCGGAGGGACAGCGAAGAGGCGGGGAGAGCAGCAGGTCCTCAGTGCCGACAGGACTCACTGAAAGACACAAACCAGCTCAGAGCTAATGGAAAGCTAGCTGCGCTAGCCCCAAACGCTGTCCCTAAAATGCTATATCAACAGGCATTTAGCCGAAGCTAATACCAGCTGGCAATATAAACATGGTGTTTATCAGAGGCTAACGTAGCTAAACTGATATAGTGTCACATCAGCGATAGTGTATGCTAATGCTAATGTGCTATATGAAGCTGGAACATAAAAGGCTACATTTGTTTCCCACCACTTGTCATTGCTACATGTGCTACAGCATACACCATCGCCCCCTACTGGTTGGCATTTCACTCCAACAAACATCAGGGTCTCTGAAGCTGCAGCTCTGAGTTTAGCAGGAGGTCAGAGGTCAAGGTCCGACATGAACTGAGTGTTTGTTGGACGTATCTAACAAAAACTGAAGAATTCTTTAAGAAATTTATCTTAAACTGAAATAAATTTATTTCTTTATTGTTTCTCTGCAATTAACTTCAGAAGGATTGTTTTGAACTTCATGTCTTACTGAGTCATGAGTCTCTGGACTCACCTTTCCCTCCAGAACCTTCTGCTCCTCCAGAACCTTCTGCTCCTCTAGAACCTCCTGCTCCTCCAGAACCTTCTGCTCCTCCAGAACCTCCTGCTCCTCCAGAACCTTCTGCTCCTCCAGAACCTCCTGCTCCTCCAGAACCTTCTGCTCCTCCAGAACCTCCGGCTCCTCCAGAACCTCCTGCTCCTCCAGAACCTTCTGCTCCTCCAGAACCTCCGGCTCCTCCAGAACCTTCTGCTCCTCCAGAACCTCCGGCTCCTCCAGAACCTTCTGCTCCTCCAGAACCTCCGGCTCCTCCAGAACTCAGGGCGTCCAGAACCTGATCGGCCTTCTGGATCAGAGACTCGATCCTGTTGTCTGGACGGGTTGAGCATCACATTAGCCTCAGTGTGTTTGCTGCCGACTGGATCGGCTGTGTTCGTACCTCTGAACGGCGCCGCCAGGCTGCCGGACCCGTTCCCCTCGGCGGTGAGGGCGGAGATGTGTTCGGCCAGCTGCAGCCGCAGCTCCCTGAGCGTCTGCTCACCTTCAGCCTGAACCACACCCTGAAAACAGAAACACGTTTTCATCCTCCGTGATCCTCAGGATGTCAAAACCTGCATCGCTCCCGATACTGAAAGACAATCTAGATCTGGTATTGTCACAATGTTCTTTATGTCATGATATTGGTATTTGAGTCATTTTAATCACAACTGAAGGAAACTTTGATTATTAAAACCGAGAAAACTTGGCGCTGCCCCTTTAAGGCAGATCGGCTGTTGGATCGGGAACAGCCCATAATAAACCTCAGATTTTGTCGGTGGTGAAAAAAGCGGATCTGTGCATCCCTACACAGAATGAAGCTGAACTCTGACCTTTGACCTCCCTCTCAGCTGTGCTGGCGCTGCGTTCAGCTCTCCGTCCGTCTCCAGGTCCAACACCCAGGACGGAGCTGTCCCTCTGGCCGCTCCAGGCGGCGCGTCGCCTGGGAATCGACAGACATCCAGCTGCAGTCAGACCAGACCGAGCCAGCGCAGAGACAGGAAGTGACCTGCGGCGTACCGCGCTCCTCCCAGGGCGGCGGCTCGGCGGCGCGGAGGACCCAGCTGGGGTAGGTCAGGTCCGGCAGGCTGCCGACCTCGGAGCAGCCCAGCGCCGACTTGTTGCTGGTCAGCCAGCGAGGAAGATGCAGATCTGCAGCTCTGTGTGCAGACTGAGGAGGCCGGGGTTAAAGGACCAGAGGGAGGTTCAGGTACTACAACAGGTCAGTAAACCAAACCACCTACAGCAGGAATGTCAGCAGACTGGCTGAGTCTGTCCGTCTGCAGCCTCCCTCTCGACCTGCAGGAGGAAACATTCAAACGATTCAGACCGTCGGACCGAAACTGACCTGGCAGAACAAACGGCTCCAACTGGGCTCAGCAGCAGAGGAAACTGTTGACTCAGAATTCACTACGAACAAAACAGACTCTTTACTCCAGGTTTTCATTTTAGCACAAATGGGAGTAAAAGAGTGATTCCTGAATAATCCTCACTTTACACATAAACAGCAGAATTTTACAGTAATAAACAGATTTTTTATTTCTAGCTGCAATACGTTTTTCATGCTTTCCTGGAATTCATGCTAATGCGCATCTGAAGAGAGCGGTTTGGATATTTGATAAAAATGAAGCAGGAATGCAGCGATATAAAAGGTACCTTAATTCGGCCCAGTTTATCGAGCGGATAAAGAACGGACTGATATCGAGCAATACCGATAATTTAATCCTCAGCTTCAGTTGATTCATGTAGTGAAGATTTGTAGTTTTTCTGTTTTGCAGAATCCAAACAGACTTCACGAACCTGGAGGTCCTATCAGAAAAACGGATCTGTTTCTGGTTCTGGTACCGGTCTGGGCCCAGGTGCAGGTGTTGGTGAGCAACATGGCTGCTGCTGCGTCTGGATCCGGCGCAGGGCGGTACCGCTTCAGAACCCCGGGAGCGGGACAGGACGCCTGACGTCAGACAGAGAGACACAGACGGCTCCTTTAACGTAACGTTTATCACAAACTGACGACAAACATCTGAGCAAGGCGTGAGTCCTGGTGCGTTCAAGGACCTCGAATGAAGGCAGACGTGCGAGTGACGGGCATCGAGCCGTCGCAGGGGATGGACAGCAGCTCCTCTGTGGTCATGGAGTCGCGGTTGAGGCGGTGATGGAGGGAGCTGACGGGGAGGCTGAGGAAGTCCAGCTCCCAGTCGGTCAGACGCTCCCGGAGGACTGCAGCCCACAACCAGATCAGCCAATCAGATCACAGGAAGCTCAGACATCAACATCCATGCAATCCTTTATTTCATGGTTTAGATTTTAAGTTAATTTACTTTACCTTGAAACTAAAGACTTTTTTACCCCTGACTCATAAGAGATCTCAATAGTGGATGAAAACGTATTTTATGTTTCCATGACGCACCGTCTCTGTTTCTGGCCGCCCTGTGATTGGCCGGCTGGCTGCGTGGCAGAACCAGCGACGCCGTCAGCGACCTGCACTGCCGGCAGCTGCGGTCAAAGTCTGCGATGTAGGCGTCCAGCGCTGCCGACGCCGAATCAAAATCCTGCAGGTGGAAAAAACCCAGACCTCAGTGTTACCTGGCAACAAGCCTCTCATCCTCGCTGCTCTTCATCACCTGGTCTCTGAACCTGAAGGTGGCGCCGCGGCCTGGAGGCTGCAGGCTGCTGCGCAGGTGGCCAGAGCGCGACAGCAGAGACGTCACGGTGGACTCCGGGGACAGACAGTCGCTCCCCAGGCTGCTGGACTCCATCCTGCATCACACAGAAAGACGCTGCTGATTTAATATTTTAAAATGGTTTAATTTCATTTATTTTTATCTTTTTGATGATTATAGATGTGTATCTGTTTTTGCTATGCGTTTTTTAGTGAGTTTGTTCATAACATGTAAATTCTAGTTATGAGTGTTTACATAAGTATTTATTAATAAATAATATTTACACAGAAATGTTTATTTTATATTATCAGGTGTAGAATAAATAAAATAAATGATATAAAATAAATGTTAATATAAATAATATAATATTATACTATTTCAGATTATTTATCATAAATCATATAAATGTAAATAAATAATAATAAATATTAGTTAGAAGAAAAACTTTTCCAAATCAATTTTTTTCCATATAACATTGATTAACCAAATGCTTCCGGTAGGTTGTGTATTGATAAGCTAGAACAGGGTAAAGTATTGACAGTTATAATGTTCATTGTTTATTATTTATTAATTTCTATTAAGTAGAAAAATAACAGAACTACAAAGCTGGTGTAGAAACAAGAGGTCTCACTCCGACATAAACTGCAGGTCTGAATGCTTTGGTCAAAACACATTTGTTCCTCATTCAGTGAAGTTACGGACAGTGGGCAGAGAATCCAGAAATATCACTAAAGTCAAAGTAAAACGTACAGTGTAGCATAACTACTCCTAAAAGTATCTGTATTTAAAAAAAATTGCTGAAGTAAATGCAGCTGGTTCCTCCCTATCTCTGAATGAATCCCTGGAGAATCCAATGTCTGAGTTTATATCCGGCGCCAACGGTCCTAACATGACTTTTAGCGGCTATTTAGTAAAAGAAATCCCTGTTTAAAGTTTAAACCTGAGCTGTAACAGAAGTTGATCAAAAGTGGAGTTTTTACTGGAGAAGCAGAATAAAGATGGCGAACTGAATCTCAGAAGTTTTCTCACCTAAACTCCGCCGAGCTGCGCTGCGAAGAGAACCGGAAGCTGCAAACATGGACGGAAATAAGCCCAAAACATTTTATAGTGGGAAATGTGTTTTATCCATGTTCAGCCGCGGGGTAACGGTAAATCCAGGAGGACTCCCTGATTACAGTCAATATTACTGAGCTAATCAGAAGTCAGTTTGAACCGACAGGTTGCTAACAGGAAGTAGTCAACAGTTAAACGGAAGTGCAGCTGCGGATGACAAAAGCTTAAACACCAAATAGTGTTTTTTCACCCCGATTATTATTATTATATATTATTATTATTATTATTATTATTATTATTATTATTATTAGTAGTAGTAGTAGTAGTAGTAGTAGTAGTATTTTCTGGCTTTATTTCACGATATAGTTGCTGTATTTGTTTTCTATAGGCTTGTCTCCTCCATCAGCACAGGATCCACTTAATCTACAGAAAAACAAGATAAAATAAATCTAGAAGTCTCCATCTGTATTATGGGTGTGTTTAGACTGTATTATTGTTGTTGTTTGGATGCTTTTTTAAATTTATTTTTTACTTTAATATCATTGAATTTTACCTGCAAAGTTAATCTACCATAAAACATTTTATTATTATTATTGAGTTAGGATTCAATAAACATTTTTCTCCGTTTTGAACTGGATATGAAAGTGTTTTAAGTGTTTTGTTTCCTGTGTTTTCTCCTGATATTAGATTTTTTTCAATGTTCTAAATAAAATTGTGATGTCATGTTTCAGTTTGTTTTGGTTTTATGAACCTGTGGGCCTCATAAATAAGCCCTGTTTTAATCCCCCCCCCCCGGCGCCCAGTGGTTCAGTCCAACCCCCTCCGGCCTGATGGTACCTTACATAAAGCGGCGCGAACCGCCTGCATGTCTCCATTTTGTCTTTCTTCGACCGCATAACAGTCGATCCGTAAGACTCTCAGCCCCTTCGAGGCTTTTTTGTTGAAGTTTACCTCATAAACAACTACACAGAATGGTAAGAATTGTTGGAAAAGCTTAAGAAGGTATTTTTATCGGAATGTATGCTGATAAAGGAAATTCAGGAGAGGTCAACCGGATTTTTTCCGTGGGACTAAAAGTATCCTTTTAACTGTTCAGAACCGCTGCGACGCGCTTTTGGTTTACAAACCGATATCAGTCGTTAGTTGCCCGGGCTTTTCCTTCAAACATAGGTTTTGAGTGGGATGGTATATCTTCTGGGCGTTATTTGATGTTTTTTTCCGTCAGTCAGTCACTGCGCACTTTCAAACAGATGAAGGAACCGCTAACGGTTTCAGCGCGCGCCGTAAATCCTGAGGGTCACGTGCTCGGGATCAGAGAGACCGTCTGAATACCGCGGCGTCATTTAATTATAACTCTGGGATTTCTCCTTCCGAACCGGGCCTGGTGCTGCTGCTGCTCAGGCTCGGTCGGTTCTGTTAGCACCGCTAACCAGGTTCTACCAGCGCCAACTTGGAGCTGGGCGGGAGGAGGGAACCGCTTCCTCCGGGAGCAGGGGGCGGGGCTACGGAGAGCAACAGCCAATCAAAACGGAATGAGCGCCGTGTTTAAATTTAAGCTGCTGTATTTTCCCGCTTTTTATTTTACTGTTAAATTAAAAACGTGCATTTTATTAAATTATTCCACTCGGCCGCCTATTTCATTGAACCTTAGCAGACTTTCACGAATGTTTAGTTTGTATTTAAATCGTTTCAGAGATTATGAATAAAATATTTGTTGTTGCTTTGATCAGGATTATAAATCTGTCAGTAAGTAAACAGAAGGTTCAAAATCAAAATTAGTGAAAAGAGCTCAATGTCAACAAAGCAGAACTAGGAGGGGACAAAATAGATGAAGATGTAAAAAAAATAAATTATTGAATAAAACATTTTTATTCAAAAGATAATGCATACTGTTGAAGTATAAATTCTGCAGCAGCTCTTTTGCAAATAGAAAGTAAAAATCAGTTTTTATATCATCGCAGCCTTTATCAGCTGGTTTTCTGTTGAGTCCTGTAGTTTAACGTGAAGCTGTTTTTCTGTGCGTTCGCAGCGTGAGTGCATCTCCATCCACGTCGGCCAGGCCGGCGTCCAGATCGGGAACGCCTGCTGGGAGCTGTACTGCCTGGAGCACGGCATCCAGCCGGACGGACAGATGCCCAGCGATAAGACCATCGGTGGGGGAGACGACTCCTTCAACACCTTCTTCAGTGAGACCGGCGCCGGGAAGCACGTCCCCAGGGCCGTGTTCGTGGACCTGGAGCCCACCGTCATCGGTAAATATCAAACTTCATGGCCAAAAGCTCCAGTAACTCCTAGATGAAAAATAGTTTTTTACATGGTGATTGACAGCTTTAAGACACACCCCCAGCTCTGATTGGTTGTCCTAGTTGGCACTGGGAGAAGCAGAGTGGCTCAATTTTCATTTTCACAGATTTTGTCTCATACCTTCATGACATTGTGACTGTTTATTTTATATCTTAAATGAAAGTTACTTGAGGTTTTATTAATGTAAATAAATTGACTCAGGAGTTAATTTTTAATATATTTTTTATAGATGAGGTTCGGACCGGGACGTACCGCCAGCTGTTCCACCCTGAGCAGCTCATCACCGGGAAGGAAGACGCTGCCAACAACTACGCCCGCGGCCACTACACCATCGGCAAGGAGATCATCGACCCGGTTCTGGACCGCATCCGTAAACTGGTGAGTTCAGCTGCATGGTGCTTGAACTAGGCCGGTCGCAACAAAACCTGGATAAGTCTTCAGACTTCTTCCATCTGGAGATTTTATAAATAATTTTATTGTTTTTATGTATTTTAAATTGAGCTCATTTGAATGTTCCATTTATCCATTTTCTCGTGCGTATCCGGGTTCAGGAGGCCCAGACTTCCTCCGGCTCTTCCTGGGAAGCCGAGGCGTTCCTCGGCCAGCCCGGCTTCAATCTTTTTAAATCATCATGCCATTATCATGCGTTACTTGAAGAAGATGTCAAACTTGTGCTCTGATTTACCGTTTTAACATCATTCGTCATTTTGACGGCCTGAAGCAGCAGCTGCGGGTTCTGGCCTGGTTCTGACCCGGTTGTTTCTCCGCAGGCTGACCAGTGCACCGGCCTGCAGGGCTTCCTGGTCTTCCACTCGTTTGGCGGCGGAACCGGCTCCGGCTTCACCTCCCTGCTGATGGAGCGCCTCTCGGTGGATTATGGGAAGAAGTCCAAGCTGGAGTTCTCCATCTATCCGGCGCCCCAGGTGTCCACGGCGGTGGAGCCGTACAACTCCATCCTCACCACCCACACCACCCTGGAGCACTCGGACTGCGCCTTCATGGTGGACAACGAGGCCATCTACGACATCTGCCGCCGCAACCTGGACATCGAGCGCCCCACCTACACCAACCTGAACCGCCTCATCAGCCAGATCGTGTCGTCCATCACGGCGTCGCTGCGCTTCGATGGCGCGCTCAACGTGGACCTGACGGAGTTCCAGACCAACCTGGTGCCGTACCCGCGCATCCACTTCCCCCTGGCCACCTACGCGCCCGTCATCTCGGCCGAGAAGGCCTACCACGAGCAGCTGACGGTGGCCGAGATCACCAACGCCTGCTTCGAGCCCGCCAACCAGATGGTGAAGTGCGACCCGCGCCACGGCAAGTACATGGCCTGCTGCCTGCTGTACCGCGGCGACGTGGTGCCCAAGGACGTCAACGCCGCCATCGCCACCATCAAGACCAAGCGCTCCATCCAGTTCGTGGACTGGTGCCCCACCGGCTTCAAGGTGGGCATCAACTATCAGCCGCCCACCGTGGTGCCGGGCGGAGACCTGGCCAAGGTGCAGCGTGCCGTCTGCATGCTCAGCAACACCACGGCCATCGCCGAGGCCTGGGCGCGCCTCGACCACAAGTTCGACCTGATGTACGCCAAGCGGGCCTTTGTCCACTGGTACGTGGGCGAGGGCATGGAGGAGGGCGAGTTCTCGGAGGCCAGGGAGGACATGGCCGCCCTGGAGAAGGACTACGAGGAGGTGGGGGTCGACTCGGTGGAGGGCGAGGACGAGGAGGGGGAGGAGTACTAGATGTTAGCGCGGTTACCTTAGCGCGGTTAGCGCCGGCCGAAAGACATTCCACATCATGTTCTGATCCGTCGCATAACTCCAGATCATGATGCTTCCTGTTTCCTGTGCAGTTTCAGCTCCGCTTCCTGTTCTGATGATTCCTTTGTTTACTCTCTGCTGTTACACATCATTTCCTTTTAGTTGTTACAATCATGAATGAAACATTTGCTTTAAAATCATGAATAAAACATTTGTGTTTAAAGCGCTCCAGTTTCTGCCTCCATGTCCAGGTTCCACCAAAAACTCACTTATTATAAACTTTAAATAAAATTCCTGAATAAATTCACTGAAGATCAAAAAGCACCAAACACTGACAATGTGTGTTGAAGTGAGACCTCCTGTTTTTACACCAGCTTTGAGCTCAACATGAAAATGTTTCCACTTTATATACATTTAATATCTACAGTAAGTATTTAAGATTTATATTGAATAACTTTTACAAAGGACTAGTGAATTTTTTTCACTTCAGTCTTAAGATCAGAATTTCAATAAACTTAAGTTTAAATCAGTGAAGATAAATTAGAAATTAAGTTGATATTTACATGTGGTTCAGTGACTGTCCAGCATTTGTGCCCCTGAAACAAGTTTATTTTCCAAATGACTTCTTTTCTAGTTTTCCATTTTCTTCTGTTAAGTCAGTGCTTCTCAATTATTTTCCGTTACGCCCCCCCTAGCAAGAAGAAAACTATTCGCGCCCCCCACTCCCCACCGTGACTATCCATCTCTGCATAACATTTTTTCCTTATTAACATTTTTTTCGCTGAAAAAACTCTAGCGGCTTATCGGCGTGATTGGGATGTAACGTATTTAAGTGACGCGCTAATTTATTTGGCTTCATGCTGTCCGCTGCGAGCATTTTTAGACAGCAAACACACCGGTCTTTCCTCTTCTCCAACTGTAGTCACAGTGAAGCCAAGCTAAATACGCTTCGTCGTATTTCCTCTTCTTAGCTTTCGGTTGACTTTCTGTTGTCTCATTATCTTTGTCTCTCCGCTTTTCTTTTCATCCCTGAAAAACTTTTTCATGTTGGGGGTTGTTGAATAACGGAGGCCATAGACAGAACGCAGTCGGAGCTTTTTGTTGACTTAACACTGCTAACCAAGGCAAACCTGTTGTCTTGTAAGTCGTAAAATGTTGCACTGTCGCAAACGTGACAGAAGTAACAATGAGAGCGCCACTGCCGCCTACTGTGCGCAATTACACTTTATACTAGTACGGCCAAAAAAAAGCCTGTTCCCCAGGATCACACGCCCCCCCAGGTATCGCACCGCGCCCCCCAAAGGGGGCCCGCCCCACTATTTGAGAAGCACTGTGTTAAGTGATGTGAATTTTGAACTGGCAGTAATTTGGCCACCCTGGGCTGAAGGACCAGTCCAGCTTCTCGGCCTGCAGCGTCAGCAGCTGCAGGTTCATTTACAGCCAAACAGCAACAACAGAGGTCAGAGTTCTGATCCATCACATCAAATCCTTGTGACAGAATTGACCCATTAATTGTCCAGTAATCTGTGGCAGCAGGATCCCCGGGCAGGGGATCCTGCTGGAGCCTCCTTGCGCCTTTTAATTAGCGCCAAAACGACTCAGACTGCGCCAGTTCCGCTCTGCAGATACTAACGAGTTTATCTGGAAAACATTTATTCCAGATGTAAAATACCGCAGTAAGAAATATTGAAAATAAGAAATATTAGCTTCATGAAATTAAATAAAACATTGAAACAGCGAAATTGCCGCAATGCATTCTGGTAGATGAAGTTCTTGTTTTCTCAAGTGTTTCCAAGTGTAAAATAAAAATCACGTCTTGCTCTGATAAATCACGGAACGTTTTGACAAATAAGCAACTTTCAAATGTCTTTGAGTTTGAACAGAATGAATGTGAAATAATGAAGGAGTAATGTTGCCCTTTTTATGATTATTTAGAAAAAATAACCAAATTGTTCTAAATTGTGCCAGAAACAATTTCTGCAAATTGATGAAACAGACATAATTTCAATATCAGATCGAAATGAATACACGTGTTTAGAAGTTAATTTTTGTACACAATATATAATCCATATGGAAACAGAAAACAGCAATTTGACAATTTGGCGCTGTGGGAGACGGCTGCCTCTCCAGTAGCTCTTCAGTTTTTAGCTCTTTTTTAACTTTTTATGTTGCCTCTTCAACACAGAAGAGGCTGTGTGTGTTTTTTATTTATCCTATGGATAATTCCAAACTTCTCACTTATTCGAGAGAGGAACTGCTGGACTTTAGAACAATGGGACAAGCCGGCATAAGACACAACATTCCGGTGGAGTTGAGGAGGAGACCGAGGGGCTGCAAGGCTGGGGCTAAGCTAAAGGCTAAGCTAGCGGACAACAGGAGCGCTACAAGCCATCGATTCCCACTGTAATCATGGGGAATGTGAACTCGCTGCCGAACAAGATGGATGAGCTGTCTGCACTGAACAACCAGCGGATCTACAGAGAGAGCAGCTTGTTCATCTTTACAGAGACATGGCTGAACCACCTCGTGCCGGACGCTAACGTGGACCTGCCAGGATTCACCGCTGTGAGGGCTGATAGGGACACGAAAGCGAGTGGTAAAAGAAAAGGTGGGGACTCATCATGTATGAACAATAAATGGTGTAACCCAGGACATATCACTGTAAAGACTGTTTGGTGTTGTCGGGACCTCGAGCTACTAGTCGTTAGCTTGCGGCCATACTACCTGCCGAGGGAGTTCAGTCACGTGATCTCCATCTGCGTTTACATCCCACCGAGAGCGGACGCTACCACTGCCTGTGAAAAAATCCACTCTGTCACAGCAAGGCTACAGACAAAACATCCTGACGCTTTTATTATAATCTCTGGGGACTTCAACCATGTGACCTTGGACTCTACTTTGGCCACTTTCCACCAAGCTGTTGACTGCCCCACCAGGAATAACAGGACAATCGACCTCCTGTATGCCAATGTGAGGGATGCATACAGAGCAACACCCCTACCCCACTAGGGAAGTCAGATCACAACATCGTTCACCTACAGCCACTGTACACCCCCCTGGTCCAAAAGCAGCCTACAACAGCTCGCTCCATCAGGAGGTGGTCCCCTGAGATGGAGAGTGCTCTGAGAGACTGTTATAACACCACGGACTGGGATGCACTGTTCAGCCCGCATGGCCAGGACATAGAGGGGCTGACACACTGCCTGACGGACTATCTGAACTTCTGCGCAGATGTGGTATCCCCTGCTAAGACTGTCCGCTGTTACCCTAATAACAAGCCTTGGGTAACGCGGGAAGTCAAAACTGTCCTCAACAAGAAGAAGGTTGCCTTCAGGAGAGGAGACAGGGAGGCCATGAAGGCAGCACAGCAGGAGGTGAAGCAGTGTGTGAGGGAAGCAAAAGACAGCTACAGGAGAAAGGTGGAGCAGAAGCTGAGAGAGAACAACATGAGGGAGGTCTGGGAAGGTGTGAGGACCATCACTGGCCTCAACACAAAGACCAGAGTCGTTGGGGGAACAATGGAGAGGGCAAACCAACTGAACAACTTCTTCAACAGGTTCAACCAGTCTGTGCCCCCCGGACCCCCTCTCTCACTGCAGCCACCTCTCCTTACCACACACCTCCCCACAGACAACAAAACACTGACAACCCCCCCACACCTCAGCACAACCTCGACCCCACATCACCACAGACCAGGTCAGAGAACAGCTGAGGAAGCTCAAGCCCCAGAAGCAGCAGGGCCGGACCAGGTGTGTCCAAGCTGCTGAAGACCTGCGCTGCTGAACTGGGAGAGCCACTACAGCGGATCTTCAACCTCAGCCTGCAGCTAAGGGAAGTGCCCACCCTCTGGAAGACATCCTGCATCGTCCCAGTGCCCAAGAAGAACAGGCCCAGCGAGCTGAATGACTTTCGGCCCGTGGCACTCACTTCACACCTGATGAAGACGTTGGAGCGGCTCTTCCTCGGCCTCCTCAGACCTCAGGTGGAACATGCTCAGGACCTCCTGCAATTCGCCTACCAGGCAGATGTTGGTGTGGAGGATGCCATCCTCTACCTGCTGCACCGGGCCCACTCCCACCTGGATAAGGGCAGTGGCACAGTGAGGATCCTTTTCTTGGACTTCTCCAGTGCCTTCAATACAATCCAGCCCCTTCTGCTCCAGGACAAACTAAATAGCATGGGAGTGGACCAGCACCTGGTCACCATGATCCATAGTTACCTCACCAACAGGCCGCAGTATGTCAGGCTAAAGGACACCGTGTCTGACACTGTGGTCAGCAGCACAGGAGCCCCTCAGGGCACAGTGCTGGCCCCTCTTCTCTTCACCCTGTACTCCTCTGACTTCCACTACAACTCGGAGCTGTGCCACATACAGAAGTATGCTGATGACACAGCCATAGTCGGATGTATCAGGGACGACGGAGAGGAGGAATATCGCTGTCTGGTGAGGGACTTTGCTCTCTGGTGCCACACAAACCACCTAGAACTCAACACCTCTAAGACGAAGGAGCTGGTTTAGACTTTGGGAGGTCCAGACCAAAGCCAAGACCAGTCGTACTGGAGGGAACGGAGGTTGAGGTCGTGGGCTCCTACAAGTACCTCGGGCTGTGGCTGGACAGTAAACTGGATTGGTCAAAACACACCAGCCACCTGTACGGAAGGTGCAGAGCAGGATGTACTTCCTGAGGAGACTGCGGTCCTTTAACATCTGCAGCAAACTGCTGTGGATGTTCTACCAGTCAGTGATCGCCAGTGTCCTCTTCTACACCGTGGTGTGCTGGGGAGGCAGCACATCCAAGAAGGACACGTCCAGACTGGACAAACTGATCAGGCGTGCCGGCTCTGTGGTCGGCATGAAGCTGGACTCTCTGGTGACGGTGGCAGAGGCGAGGACACTGAACAAACTGCTGGACATCATGGACGATAGCAGCCACCCTCTACACGCCGTCATCAGCAGCCAGAGGAGCCTGTTCAGTGACAGACTGCTGCTTCCCAAGTGCCGGACCAATAGATTCAAGAACTCCTTTGTCCCACACGCCTTCAGACTGTACAACTCCTCACTGGGGGGTCGGAGGTGACAGGACAGAGGGAAGAAGGAGTAGTTTTTCTACAAATGTGAACTCCATATTTATCAGGCCAAACCATACAGTGCAATACCATATCACTGGTCAATCTATCCACCAATTGCTATAATTTCCTTTTGTGTTGTATTTATTCTTTGTTTTGTATTTAATTTGTATTTTTTTGTATTTTGTGTATGCTTACTGTGCCACATTTTTGCCTGTGAGCTGCTGGTAACTATAATTTCCTGAGGGAGTCTTCCCAAGGGATCAATAAAGTCAAGTCTAAGTCTAAGAGAATTAAATTAATACATAAAACACAAACAGTTTTTATTGCAGTTTATTTGTCAACTACACACATACATGTCACTTAAAGTCTGTTTTTAACTTCATTCTCAGCTCAGCGATTTCTTTGCATTCTGCTTTCTGATTGGTTATTCAGGCGGAAATACTATTAGGGTAAATCCCGGAACTGTCAACGTTCTGTAGTTTCAGACGTTTTTGAGTCAGGAGTGAGTCATCTTGTGCAACAGACGATCTTCGGGCGTGAGCCTGCTGTAGAAGTGCGATCCGACTGATACGTCACAGTCTGCCGTTGGTCCGGTTCAGCTCCAGTTCAGCTGCTGTGACCCACCGGTTCTCCCCGCGAACACTCGGAACCGAACCTCGTATCCAGTCCGGACCAACCGGGCCGCAGAAACTGTCCGAGCCGGGTTTCACTTTCTGGCCGAGTTGAAGCCGAGAGGAGCCGAACCGGGGAGGGACCGCTGCCGTTAACGTTGGTGACGTCGGTCAGCCTGAGCTCGGCGCGCCGCCTGTTTGTCCGGGACTGAACGGAACCGATCCGGACCGGGAGCCCCGCGCTGATGGAGAGGAAGAAGACGGACTGTCCGGCGCTGCCGCCCGGCTGGAAGAAGGAGGAAGTGATCAGGAAGTCCGGGCTGAGCGCCGGAAAGAGCGACGTTTACTACTACAGGTGATCCATCAGTTCGGAACCAGCCGCTGCTGGCCGAACCGAGCCGCCCTACTCTCAGCAGTGCATTGTGTTTATGGAACCAGCTGTGCGGTTCCAGAAATGTCCCGCTGGGAGTGTTTTTCCACAGAACCAGTTGTTTACTGGAACTGACGGGAAGTACTGGGACTGGGCCGGCCGGTTCCGAGGTTCTGTTGCTTTCACTTCATTCCAGCAACTTCTGCTCTGATCCAGCCTAATCCCGGATTATTTGACCCAGTCCAGGACGGTTCTGCCCAGAATGATTCATTTCTAGAACCGAGCCAACGAGCAGAACTCTGAGAAAGTATTCAGAGTTCTGCTTGAGGACCCGACAGAAAGTATTCACACCCCAGATCAGTAATGAATTCACATTTACCTTCAGGCCCACTCACTGCCTGACCCTGGAGCCGACTGACAGCCTGAAGTAGGCAGGAGCTGGGCCGGACTGGCCCGGAGCAGGGGCCTGGAGCAGGGGCCTGGGACGGGTCGGAGCAGGGACCGGGTCGGGCCGGAGCAGGAACTGGGCCAGGTCGGAGCAGGGGCCCGGGTCGGAGCAGGGGCCCGGGTCGGAGCAGGAACTGGGGGCTGGAGCAGGGGCCGGGTCGGAGCAGGGGCCCGGGTCGGAGCAGGGGCCGGGTCGGAGCAGGGCCGGGTCTGGAGCAGGGGTCGGAGCAGGAACTGGGCCAGGTCGGAGCAGGGGCCGGGTCGGAGCAGGGGCCCGGGTCGGAGCAGGGGCCGGGCTGGAGCAGGGGCCCGGGTCGGAGCAGGGGCCCGGGTCAGAGCAGGGGCCCGGGTCAGAGCAGGGGCCCGGGGTCGGAGCAGGGCCCGGGTCGGAGCAGGGCCCGGGTCGGAGCAGGGGCCCGGGTCGGAGCAGGGGCCGGGCTGGAGCAGGGGCCCGGGTCGGAGCAGGGGCCGGGCTGGAGCAGGGGCCCGGGTCGGAGCAGGGGCCGGGTCGGAGCAGGGGCCGGCCCGGTTTGTGTTCTGGTTTATTATTTACTCTTTGACGTTCTGATTGAACAGGATGAACAAAATTTGGTTTATTAAATGGAGCTGTTAGTCACTGTCAGACATGAACTGTCATAATTAGTGTTTTTTAGCCTTTCATAAGAGAAAAACAGATTGTCATTTATTAATGTCCCAGTTTTAAACTAAATATTGAGCTAGCAAGCTAAATATTTACTTGGAAGCTACAAACTATATAAATATAAATATTTAGCTCAGTATTTAAATCTAATTAGCTTTGAGATTGCTAAGTGTTTGTTTAGCTTTGTGCAAACTAAGTATTCAGTTAACTAACTAAATACTTAGCAAGCTAAATATTTAGTTAATAGCTAAATATTTAACTCAGCACAAGTATTGAGCTCCAGTCTAGCTTTGAACTAAATAAATTTTGAGCTTGCAAAATATTTCATTAGCTCCAAGTTGGCTAAACTCTTAGTACACAAACGGAATGTTTAGCTAGCAGAATTAAATATTGAGCTAATGTGCAAATTTTCTTACTGATAAGTGGAAGTGGATTGTCAAAATAAAAGCAGGGTCTTGAGAACTTGAATGTAAATCCTGGTGGTTAGCATGAATCCGTTCTGTTTGTTGGTAAACGTCTGTATTGCCTCTAAAACGGCTCATCCTTTGATTCTTGATGTTAAATGTTCAGTTAGCATATGTTACAGTTAGCATGCTAAGTATTTATCATGCTAACTGAAACAGCATCTAGAACTGCAGGCCTCACCAGCTCAGTCAAGGTCAGAGGTCATGATTCAACAATAAGATTGAGAGATAATGGGCTCCAGGTCCAGAACCACAGCTGACCCAGAAGAACTCAGGAACCCGACTCACATGTACGACCAAACCCAGATCTCCTCCAGACCCTCTTAAAGGGACAGGCCGTCACGCACGCTGCCATCTAGTGGTAAGGTTTGGTACAACTGCACCTGTTTTCAGTCAGCCTGTTGCTCTGCCCTCAACCAGTCTGGACTTTTCCCATCATGCATCAGCAGTCGGGGTCAGAGGCCTGCAGCTTCTCTGCTGCAGCTTGAGGTCACAGGAAGTGGCTCCCGCTGCAGGGCTGCCTGCGCTGCGGCGAGGCAGCGGCCGCCCGCCGGCGCTTCCTGTTGCTGGGCGCCGCCGCCGCCGGCTCCGCCACTTCCTGAAGGCTGAGTTTCAGGTCGGTTGGGTCGGGTCGGGTCGGGTTGGGTCGGGTCGGGAGGTGATCTCATCAGCTCGTCAGGAAGTCAGTCAGCAACTTACTGGAAGAGCAGCTCCAGTCTGAGCCCAGAGCTCCCAGTGGCTCCCAGTGGAGAGCCCCCACCTCAGCATCCGTTCTCACATCAGGACTTTAACTAGGCCATTAAGGCAGCTGGATTTTTTCTTTTCAGCTGTTGTGGATCTTGGTTCTGTTGACCCATTTAGACTCTGGCTGCAAATAAACATTTTTAATTGAATTTTTCATACAACTTTAGAAACACGATTCGGCTGCACAGTGGTGCAGTCGGTCGCACTGTTTGCCTTCCAGCAAGAAGTTCTGGGTTCGATTCCCAGTGCATGATGTGTCTCTCATCCAGAACGTTGGCTGGAGACCGGGGTCAAGGGTCAGAAACTGGATGGATTGAATAGAAACACGTTAAAGATGCTAATAAATGAGCAATTGGCAGCTCTGGCTCCCGATTAATCAATAATCGATTAAACCTCTCCCGGACCCAATCTGCAGCAGATTAAGACTGACTGGACCCGTCAGAACCTGCGGGTCCTGACCCGTTCTCCCGTCTCCTTCAGTCCGACAGGGAAAAAGTTTCGGAGCAAGCCGCAGCTGGCCCGTTACCTCGGCAACGCCGTGGACCTGGCCTGCTTCGACTTCCGGACCGGAAAGATGATGCCCGGAAAACTGCAGAAAACAAGCAGCGGTTCCGACACGACGCTCAGAACCTGGCCAAGGTAGGGGCGGGCCGTGAGGGGGCGTGGCTGTGGGGGGCGGGGCTGTGGAGGGGGCGGGGCCGTGAGGGGGTGGGGCTGTGAGGGGGGGGGGCCGTGAGGGGGCGGGGCTGTGGGGGGCGGGGCTGTGGAGGGGGCGGGGCCGTGAGGGGGTGGGGCTCTGAGGGGCGGGGCCGTGAGGGGGCGGGGCTGTGGGGGGCGGGGCTGTGGAGGGGGTGGGGCTGAGGGGGCGGGGCCGTGAGGGGGTGGGGCTGTGAGGGGGCGTGGCTGTGAGGGGGCGGGGCCGTGAGGGGGGGTGGGCTGTGAGGGGCGTGGCTGTGAGGGGGTGGGCCGTGAGGGGGCGGGGCTGTGGAGGGGCGGGGAAGAGGGGGTGGGGTTATAAGCGGGTGGGGGTTATAGAGGGGAGGGGCCGTGGGGGGGCGGGGCTGTGGAGGGGCGGGGTTATAAGCGGTGGGGTCATAGAGAGGCGGGGCTTCTGCAGGTTATCAGATGAACTAACAGACGGTTTGGAGAATCTGTTCACATCATGACCCAGGAACTTCCTGCTGTTGCCACGGCGATTAGTTCATGCTGAATGAATGAATGAATGAATGAATGAATGAATGGGACCGGCCCCAACTTGTTTCTGTCTCCCTGCAGGGAGGCAAACCGGACCTGAACACGGCTCTGCCCATCAGACAGACGGCGTCCATCTTCAAACAGCCCGTTACCAAGGTTACCAGTCACCCCGGAAACAAGGTGAAGACGGACCTGCAGCGAGCCGTGGAGCCGCCGAGGCAGGTGAGGGCGGGGCCCGGGTCGCCATGGCAACCAGCTGCCACCAGCGCAGGAGGGCCAATCAGGAATCAGCCCTGAAAAGAGACGACCAATGAGAACAGGATTATTAGGCAGAATTATGACCACCAGAACCAAGCAGAAGTTTCTGGTTCTGATCTCTGGTTCTGGTTCTGGTTCTGGTCCGGCTCACTGCCTGTCTTTGTTCTGCAGCTGTCTGGGAGAAGCGTCTGACGGGTCTGCGGTCGTCAGACATCACAGAGCAGGTTCTGCGCAGCATGGACCTGCCCAAAGGCCTGCAGGGTAAAACCCGAACCTCCAGCAGAACCCGGCCCGACCCCCGACCTCCGACCCCTGACCTCTCCTGTCCGCAGGCATCGGGCCGGACTCCGGCGACGACGTCCTGCTGTCGGCCATCGCCAGCGCCCTGCACATGAGCTCGGCGCCGATCACGGGCCAGACGTCGGCGGCGGCCGAGAAGAACCCGGCCATCTGGCTGAACACGACCCAGCCGCTCTGCAAGACCTTCACCGTGACGGACGAGCAGATCCGGTGAGGAACCGGGTCATCCAGGGACCCTCCAGAACCGTCAAAGCAGGAATCTGTTTGGAATCAAGATTCTTCTGAGACCGGACGATCCGCTGAGGTTCTGATCCGCTGAGGTTCTGATCCGCTGAGGTTCTGATCCGCTGAGGTTCTGAGCCTCTGAGGTTCTGAGCCTCTGAGGTTCTGAGCCTCTGAGTTCTGAGCCTCTGAGGTTCTGATCCGCTGAGGTTCTGATCCGCTGAGGTTCTGATCCGCTGAGGTTCTGATCCCAGAACGAATTTCAGGATTAGGCTGGGAAATGATCAACACAATAAACTCGCTGGGAATTCTGGGAAGTTGAGTCTGTGGAGTTTGAACGTGTTTGAACCTGGAGGTTCGGATCAGAACCAGGCCCAAACTGAAACATGAATGAAAGTTTAATCCTACAGTTTAAAGTGGTTTGTGGAACAACTGGGATGACTCAGCTGGTTCCTCTGGGAATACTGGGATCAGCAGGGATCTGCTGGGTTTGCTGTTCCTGCAGGCAGACAGCAGGGGGCGCTGTGGGAGCAGAATCAGTGAAACCCATCAGTAGATCCTTCACCTGTTCTTCCCAACTCTCTCTCTCTCTCTCTCTCTCCCACCATCCATCTTCCTCTTTCCAGATGCTTCCTCTCCTCCTCCTGTTTTCCTCCATTCATTTCCTCCTCCTTTCCAGAAACATCCTTATCTTCCTCCTCCTCTCCTCTCTCCCTCCAGCAGTATTCCCTCCTCCTCATTTTTTATCTCTTCCCTCCATTAATTTCCCATTCTTTCTCCGTCTCTCCGGCTGAATGTGCCTGTCATCCCAAATTGCTCCCATTCCTCTTCCTCTTTGTGTTTCTTCTTCTTCTTGTGAATTAAAGCAGGAACATTTTGGTCTGTGGTTCTGCTGGTTCTGGTTCTGTTCGCATCAGCCCTCTGGTCCAGTAACACTGAACAGATTCCCCCAAAATGAACGAAGTGACTCTGAGAAAGTCTTGATTCTAACCAACTCCTGAACAGATTCTGGGACTCTGTTCCCTCGTCCTGAACAGATTCTGGACTCTGTTCCCTCGTCCTGAACAGATTCTAGACTCTGTTCCCTCGTCCTGAACAGATTCTGGACTCTGTTCCCTCGTTCTGAACAGATTCTAGACTCTGTTCCCTCGTTCTGAACAGATTCTGGACTCTGTTCCCTCATCCTGAACAGATTCTGGACTCTGTTCCCTCGTCCTGAACAGATTCTGGACTCTGTTCCCTCATCCTGAACAGATTCTGGACTCTGTTCCCTCATCCTGAACAGATTCTGGACTCTGTTCCCTCGTCCTGAACAGATTCTAGACTCTGTTCCCTCGTTCTGAACAGATTCTGGACTCTGTTCCCTCATCCTGAACAGATTCTGGACTCTGTTCCCTCGTCCTGAACAGATTCTGGACTCTGTTCCCTCATCCTGAACAGATTCTGGACTCTGTTCCCTCATCCTGAACAGATTCTGGACTCTGTTCCCTCGTCCTGAACAGATTCTGGACTCTGTTCCCTCGTTCTGAACAGATTCTAGACTCTGTTCCCTCGTTCTGAACAGATTCTGGACTCTGTTCCCTCATCCTGAACAGATTCTGGACTCTGTTCCCTCGTCCTGAACAGATTCTGGACTCTGTTCCCTCATCCTGAACAGATTCTAGACTCTGTTCCCTCATCCTGAACAGATTCTGGACTCTGTTCCCTCGTCCTGAACAGATTCTGGACTCTGTTCCCTCGTTGAACAGATTCATTTCTTTGAAGAAATTCAAACACTGAACTGATTCCTGATCAGAATCTGAACTGATTCTCCACATGTTTGTTAAATAAATCCTGATGATCTGGTTTATGTAGAACCAGAAGGAAACGGTTCTTGATGAGGAAGCAGAAGTTCTGGAGCGGCTCGGTTCTGACCCGGCTCTGTCTTCTGGGCAGGGATCAGGAGCTGAAGGTGTTCCAGGCCCGGCGCAGCCTGGAGGAGGCGCTGACAGCCGACGGCCTGGCCAGAGCCGCCGAAAACTCCCGGGAACTGCTGCAGGGAAAGACGGCCTAAAGACGGACAGGTGAGGCGGGGCCACCTGGTTACCATGGTAACCGCGAGGCAGGGCAGGTGAAGGAGAGAAACAGAAAGAATCCATCAGCCGATCAAAGCAACATCTTAAATGTTCAGTTTGAGAGCAAGACTCCTGAGTTTCACGGCGGCCATCTTGTTTCTTTGGAAGTTGACCATTAATAAGATCACATGACAATGAAATCAGAATAATACAAGAATAAAGTTGTAATCTTACAAGCATTTTTTGGTAAAATTTCATATTTTACAATATTCTGATAATATCTCCGTTCTTCAGCTCTGAGAAGAGATGAATGAAACTTTACTTTCTGTCATAACTGACTTTTTGGAAAAATTCACTAAGAATGTTTATTGAAATGAGACCTGGTATGAAAAACATTTTATTTCTGCTTAGCGTGCTGCGGTGTGTGCTAGCGCGTGCCCTGCGTAAAATCGGGCCTGTTCCGGTCTCTGGCACATGGATCGGTTCTTTAAGACCATAAAACAGTTTAAACTCAATCTGTCAGCAACACATCACCTAGTCAGGATGTTACTGCTGTCAGTGTGTGTGTGTGTGTGTGTGTGTTTTTTTTCTGTGGAGATGTTGATGCAGATTAGCTACATGTTAGCTGCTGTGCTAAAACCGGCTGTGAGAGTGGAGGAGTGATTACAGCCAGCAGCCTGGGTTTGAACCAGAAACGGCCAGCAGGGGGCAGCAAGACGCTGGGGGGAGAGGGAGACACATCAGAGGAAGAAGATGAACAAACATGAGGGATGAACAGCAGATGAACTCCATTTCTGATGTTGGTAACTCAACAGGTCGTTGCTTTAACTGGGAGACATGAACTGGTTTCTTCTGGTTCCATCTCATTGGTTCTGGTTCCGTCTCGTGTCTCTGCTGCAGCAGACGGTTCTGCTCGACTCTGTCCGTCACCTTCAGTTACTGAAGTTTGTCTGAAAACTATAAAAAGTTCCACTGTGAGGAAAATCGTGCCTGAAATCAGCAGAATACCTTCAATAACATCATTAATTAAAGAATTTATAATATTTGATGCAGAAACAGTCTGCCGGGTCCAGTGAGTGGTTCTGTTCGCTGCCCCTCCCCCACCGCTGCTGAACACACTCAGTGATGGACTCTGCATTGTCTCTCTGCGTCTGCAGCAGCGTCTTCAGAATTCAACCTCATAATCCATGACTGTGTCTTAATTACTACTAATAATTAGAAAATTCTGATAATCTGCAGCCTGATCGCGGCCGATGTCACACACACACACACACACACACACACACACACACACACACACACACACACACACACACACACACACACACCAACACACACGCACGCACACACACCAACACACACACACACACACACACACACCACACACACACACACCAACACACACACACACACACACACACCAACACACACACACCACACACACACACACCAACACACACACACACACACCACACACAACACACACACACACACACACCAACACACACACACACCAACACACACACACACACACACACACCAACACACACACACACCAACACACACACACACCAACACACACACACACACACACACACACACACCAACACACACACACACCAACACACACACACACCAACACACACACACACACACACACCAACACACACACACACCAACACACACACACGCACACACACAGCATCTCTGCAGGACTTTGAAGCAGATAGATAATTCTCTGTGCTTCAACATTCTCTAATTAGCAGCAGCTAAAAATCGCCTGAATCAGCTCCTCTGGAAACTCCAGCTAACAGTCAGCCAGTCTGCATCAGATAAAACCAGTCAGGAAACCAGTCAGGAAACCAGTGTGCAGCAGGGAAACATGGATTCCTGATGAGTCCAGGCAGAATCACTGGGATTATTATTTTATTTCCTCACTGATATCTGGACCGGGTCAGAATCTGGTTATCAGACGTTTCCTCTGGTTAAAGTCTGAGACAAACTAGAGACATCAGATAAATTTACCAAACCAGATGTTTCCATAAACAGACAGTGCAGTAAGTTGAGTTTATATTCCTATTGGTTTAAAAAGCATGAGGCGACGGTGGAGAGGAAAACCTCCCCTTTAAGAGCAGAACCAGAACCGGGCTCAGTTCTCTGCTAGAGAACAGTGAGAGTTAAGACCAGGAGAGTGAAAAGGATTTGGTGAAGCAGCATCATGTCAGCTGGTGTCGTCCAGGACAGCCAATCAGAACGCTGCATAACAGCAAATAATGGAAACAGGAGAGTAGTAGAAGAAGAAATGCAGGATGTTTCCCTCAGTGTTTGGTGAAGAGTCTGTTTGTTGTAGTTTGCTGGATTTTCGGCCCGTTTCTCCTGTCAGAACCGTTGTAACCGGGTCACTAACGCCCTGCAGTTTGGTACCAACCTGTGTTGAGAAATGACCAATCAGAAGCTTTGGTAGCCATGACATCATAAACTGGGTCTTCCCTGGTTATTTCTTATTTTCCTTTGACTTGATTTTATTGTTTCTTATATACCTTCATTCTGTTTTTAACTCGATTGATTCCATAGTCAGTAAACTGAGAGGCTCAGTGATGAATGAAAACATCACCACAGGATCAAATGTCTGAAGATTATCGACCTTCTGTCCTTCTGTCCTCAGGGTCTTCCTGTCCGCCATCCTCAGGGTTTCCTCCTCAACCAAATCCAGATTCAAACCCGGCCAGAACCAGGTCCACTTCCTCCAGCCTTCCTCAGGTCCCTCAGCTCAGGAAAAACCGTTTCTACGCCTGGATCCAGAGCAGCTCAGATGGATCCAAACCAGCAACCAAAGCCTTCAACCTGCCTCCCCGGTGGCTCCGCCTCCCCAGTGGCTCCGCCTCCCCAGTGGCGCCTCCGGCCCGCCCGCCTCCCTGGATCCGCCTCCCGGTGGATCCGCCTCCCCGGTGGATATCCGCCCCCTCTCTGGTGGCTCCGCCTCCCCATTGGCTCCGCCTCCCCGGTGGATCCGCCTCCCCGGTGGCTCCGCCTCCCCAGTGGCTCCGCCTCCCCAGTGGCTCCGCCCCCTCTCAGGTGGCTCCGCCTCCTCAGACCGACGCCATGTTGCGTGGGTCCAGCCTGCAGGACAGCTTCATTCTGCTAACTCTCTGAGCTCCTGATTGGAGGAGCTTCACATCTTCAGGGTTTCATTTAATAATTATGAGAATTTACAGACATATCAAACAGAATAATTACTTATTTAAAACAAATTTTTATACCTTCAGAGAGCTATTGTGTATATTTCCTGAACGGGAGTAAATAAAGAGATTATATTCAGAGTTTCTTTGTGGTTCTTCTGATCCGGTTGGGACTTCCTGGAACAAACAGGACGTTTGCACATCTGGACCCTGACAGCCAGAAGATGGTCGAACGGAAGATTTTTAGGTTTCAATTTATCCAAAATTATGCAGAAAGGTCAAATATGAACATAAACCTGTGAAAAGTCTGAAGTTTTGCCTGAATCTGGTGCTTTCTGTTGCTTCTGCTGATGTTGGACCACATTCTGGGTGCTGACCCACAGTTTGGGAACCCCGAGTTTAGAGGAGCCGCGTGACCTCTGAGTCTCTCACACAGTTTTACTCAGAGACTAAATGTGTGTTTGTGCCACCAGAGTGAGCATGTGACCCTGATGACATCACATGTATCTATGCAGAGTGTTTATGTCTCACACTGTCACTAAGGACGGATCTGAGCGTATGGAGCCCCAACAGGGCCAAAAAGGTGCAAGTGTCATGTCTGCACCTTTCACCCCAGTTCAGAATAATCCACTGTAATCCAACTCCAGTCCGTTGTCTAGAACGGGTTTCCCGACCCGGTTCTGTTGGGGAGGTGTGATGGTGAAGTTCTGCTCCAAATCAAACCGAATCAGAAAAAAATGACAAAATAAAACTAGGATTGAAGAAAAACACAAACAAAGGTGATGCATTTTAATTTGACCAAAACAACTGAGGCTATTGGGCTGCAAAATTAAAATCTAGTTAAGCTTTTCCAACAGGGAGTTCCCTGACCTCCTGACCCGGTCCTCCAGAACCGGGCTGATGAACTGTTTCCCATCCAGACTCTGGTTCTGATAACATCAGGCTGCTGCTATTCATTAGCATCAGCTAATGACTTTCTGCTGCCACTTTCTAACCGACTCCAGAGCCAGAACTCCGACTCCCAGCGCCGGCCGTGACCCGCATCATAAACGGAACCAGCATCATAAACGGAACCAGTACACAAACAGAACCAGTACAAACAGAACCAGTACAAACAGAACCAGCATCACAAACAGAACCAGTACAAACGGAACCAGCATCACAAACAGAACCAGTACAAACAGAACCAGCATCACAAACAGAACCAGAACAAAAACAGAACCAGTACAAACAGAACCAGCATCACAAACAGAACCAGTACAAACAGAACCAGCATCACAAACAGAACCAGTACAAACAGAACCAGCATCACAAACAGAACCAGTACAAACGGAACCAGCATCACAAACAGAACCAGTACAAACAGAACCAGCATCACAAACAGAACCAGTACAAACAGAACCAGCATCACAAACGGAACCAGTACAAAAACAGAACCAGTACAAACAGAACCAGTACAAACGGAACCAGCATCACAAACGGAACCAGTACAAACGGAACCAGCATCACAAACAGAACCAGTACAAACAGAACCAGTACAAACAGAACCAGTACAAACGGAACCAGCATCACAAACGGAACCAGTACAAACGGAACCAGTACAAACGGAACCAGCATCACAAACGGAACCAGTACAAACAGAACCAGTACAAACAGAACCAGTACAAACAGAACCAGTACAAACAGAACCAGCATCACATACAGAACCAGTACAAACAGAACCAGTACAAACAGAACCAGTACAAACAGAACCAGTACAAACAGAACCAGCATCACAAACAGAACCAGTACAAACAGAACCAGTACAAACAGAACCGGTGCCTTCCTGTGAGGTTCCCTCCTCACAGAGAACTGCAGGACCTGCTGGATGTAATTTAGCACCTGGAGCCAAAAGGGCCACATCAGAAGCTGTGGCGGGCCACATTTGGCCCCCGAGCCTCGAGTTGGACTCATGTGAGTTGGTTCCTGATCTGGTTTCACTTCCTGTTTGGTTCTTCTTCTGTCCATCTGCTGCCAAACGTCCTCAGTTTCACAGATCTGGAGATTTTACATCTTTCACTTCCTCTTGTTGAAAAAACAGCATTTCCTCCAAACTCCTGCCGGTTTGGACCAGATTAGCCTGTTAGCTCCATGCTAACATGCTAGGGTTAGCATAGCAATCCTGCTGGTTTCTGTCAGGGAGCTTCAATGAGTTTCTTAGTGATTCTAGTTTATTTCTGCTTGTTTCTTTATTTTCTGCTGTCCTGTGTTCTCTCTCGCCCACTGTGCCACTTTCTCTCCCTCACACCTGCAACCCGTCAGCCAATCAGCAGCTCCTGCTTCCACAGTCACTCTGAACATCTGCTGCTAATGCTTCCTAACATTGATCCATAAATCTTCCTTGGATTTATGGTTTTTGTTCTGCTCCCTGTGCTTTTTGTAAGTTTTTCATCATTTTTTAAATTAAATACAAAATCTACTTAATTGCTTCCTCTTTCTTTCTGTATTTGGGTTCAAACATTTATTTCTATGTAACAATTACAAAAATTAGAGAATAATTTATGAAGCAATCTCCATTTTTGGCAAAGATTTCTGTATAAATGCATAAATAACATTTTTTGGTTTTCACTAACAGCATTTGAATGTAAGCAGCCAAAGCATTTTGACTTTTAAACACATGATCATTATTGATCTAATTTAAAGTCTCGTCTGGTTCGCAGACATTTAGCATCCCTGACCAGCTTTGAGGTTGTTACAGGACAATAACGTTAAAACCATAAATTCAGCCACTGTACAGTTCTGACGATGAAAGTAACAAAAATCACACCGACAGGAGGAACAAACCAGCCAGATTTCCTGTTTTTCAACTGTTTATGAGGAAGAAAATTCAAAAACTGAACTAGAAGAAAACTGAAAATAAAAGCTTCTGAGTTGAAGCTAAACAGGAACAAAATGAATTCTTAATGCAAAACTGAAATACAGACATGTGGGCCTCAGATCATCGATAAAAACCAACAAGCAAGATGTCAGGTTAAAAATCAACATTTTAATTTGAACTGAATTGGTGAATATAGAGATTTAATCCATGAAGTTTTGATTTTCATCCGAGTTTCTTCTTCCTGGTTTAAAGAAATGATGAATCCAAGCCGCATCCGTCCAAATATTTACTCACGTCTTGGTTTTTACAGTTGGCCCGCCAGCCCACCCTGCAGACACACAGAGGAAAACATCATCTGCATACAGAGCGATGGAAACCAGCAGATCAGCCGAGGCTGGTCACATGACCTCACCAGGCGGCGATGCCCTGCGGATCCCTGACGACGCGCTTCGCACAGTTGATGGCAACGGAAACATCGTCACTCAGCAGCTCTGGTACAGAAAAACAAAACGCTTCATTTTCCCCAGTTCACAAAGAAAAACCTTCCAGAGAATCACAGGGCAATAATTTAATAACCAAACTTACGTTAGCAGATACATTTCATCTTAAATTTCAGTCAGATATTAATTGTTTTGGTTTATTTTGGTCAAAGTGGATCTCAGCTAACAGAACAAACAGAAAAGGATTAAATATGATTGAACAATTTCGTATTCAGATTGATGGAAAATGATTTTATTGCCTTTAACACCAAACTTCTTTACTTCATCTTTAAAAAGTGATCAAACACCTGGATTAATTTGCTTTTACAAATTATGAGTTTTTAATAAATGTTTTTTTTTGACAAAGAAAATTTCACAAAAAAGTGAAAACTGATTCCAATCAAATGACAAATAAATGAAAGTATATAAATATTAACTCTCTTTAAAAGGTCTGTCCTCATTCAACAAACGTTCAGCACTAGTTAATTTTGTATTAGCGCTTTTGCTAACTGTGCTAACATTTAGCGCACTTAGCTTATTATCAAGAGCTAATTTAGTTTGCTGTCTTGTAAACTTTCAGGTGAATAAAGTTTGATATCTGTAAGACTTTAAGATTTCTTCCAGTAGTTTATATTCATGCTCTTATTTTGAAGTCCGTTTGCGCAGTAGTTGTTTCCTGTCCTCACGGTCTCTCTTTTTCCCCCAGTAACTTTATTTAAAACCAGAAACAGGAACAGAACAAAACACAGACAGCAAACAAAATAGAAATAAATAGAAAATCGAAGGACTTTATGGACCATAGAAATTATGTTGAAATTAAATTGGTGTTTGAAGGTTGTCGTTTTTCAAGAGCAGACAGAATATCAATTGATGTTAGCGCTTTGGCATTAGCTTCCCATAAATACTGTGGTGATATAGCACTTTAGCATTAGCTTCTGCTAAATACCATGTTGGTATAGCATGTTAGCAGAGCTAATGTTTCATGATTAGCGCTTCAGGGTTAGCTAACTATTCAGTTAGCGGCTAGGCTACATATAGGCTAAGCTACACATTAGCCTGGTGTAGCTCATTATGGATAATTGTGAAGCCATATTTTGCTTCATGTTGATTGTTGTGTTGAGTTAAAAGCTGGAGGTTCTTGACCTACGATCACACATGATGTGACAACCGTTGGCGGTTCTGATCCGGGTGTCGTTGCACCACCAGCGGCTGTTGATCTGGAAGATGCCGTAGTCGGTGGATTTGTCCCGGTTGTGGTTCTCTGCCAGAGTGTTGTATCTCGACTCCGAGTAAGTCAGACACATCCCTGAAGACAAAACCAGTTTCATGTTTAACCCCAGCAGAGGGCGCCGTCAGCAGGCAGTGACCGAAGCATCCGACAGCAAGAGACGCAGCGTGTCAAACTGTCCCACAAAGACTCTTCATGGGAAACGGCCATTTGCAAAGTTAGCAGCAATAATTCAGGTTATTTAGTCATAAAAGGGTCAATGTCACAATCATAAATGCCACAGTTTCAATCATACAAAGGAAATATTTATGTCTGAGCTAAATATTTAGTTTTCAAGCTAAATAGTTAGTTTAAAATTAAGTACTTATTGGGCTAAATATTTAGGTTAAAGCTAAATATTCAAACTAAATATTTTTGATCAGATCTAAATAAACTAAATATATAGTTGGTGATCTGAGTATTCAGCCTTAAAGTAAATATTTAGCCAAATGTTTATAAGACATATAATTGTGCAATAACTGCAGTAATTTCATTTACTGAATAATTATTTCAGATTTTCTCCTCTAAACAGATTGTTGACCTTGATATTGTTTAAAAGGGTTTCAGTCTAATCAGTTTATCTTAAAGTATTTAGTAATCAAACCTGGATGAAGTCAGAAATGATCCGGTTTTCTGATCTGTTTGTCAAAATGTGAACAAAAGGAACCAGAATCATGAGTTTGTTGCTCTGTGGACTTACAGTTGGCCAGGCTGACGCCCCAGTATCCGTCCATCCCGTAGCTCTTCATGGTCCGGGCCCACTGGCACCGCTCAAACACTCTGCCGTCCACCAGAACCGCCGCCAGCACCAGAACCACCAGAACCTTCATCGCCTCGTCTAGAATCAACTCGACCTGCAGAAACAGAAGGAAACTCTGTGGTTGCTGCAACTGAACCGCAGGCAACTTTCAATATGACCAACAAGAAGCAACGGAGAATCAGACAAGTTCCCTAAAACATGAAGAGCTTCTGGTTCTGGTTCTGGTTTTACAGCAGATGGTTCCTGTAAGAGGAAACCACCACAACAGATTAGAATAGAATAGAATAGAATAGAATAGAATAGAATAGAATAGATTAGAATAGAATAGAATAGATTAGAATAGAATAGAATAGATTAGAATAGAATAGAATAGAATAGAATAGAATAGAATAGAATAGAATAGAATAGATTAGAATAGAATAGATTAGCTGCAGCTCCTCCTCATCATGATTCTCCTTTTTTTGGTGATTTATTAGAAAAATCACTAAAATGAAGTTTGAAAAGTTCCAGTTTAATTCCTGAACTTTTCCAAATTCTGCTGTAGATTTTTTTAGATTCATTTAAATATTTCTGAGATTTTTTAACTTTTCAGACTAAAACATATCTGTAATTTTTCCTAAAAAATGTTTGAGAATTTTCACCTGAGAAATTTTTTTTTTTAACATTTTTGACTTTTCAAACTAAGAAATTTCCACAATTTTGTATAAAGTTTCAGAGATTAATCTACAAAATGTTGTTTTCTAGTGAATTTTGTCAGAAATTTCCTATTTTTTTTTGGACTTTTTAAAATAGAAATTCACTTCTTTTTGTATGATCAGTGGCCCTAACAGGCTGCCGTAGCTCATAACTTCAGCCTGACATACTTGGTGATCCAGTGGAACCAGTCTGGCAGCAAACTGGGATTTTGTTCAAAACACTTTGAGACCAAAAACACTTTCAAAACTTTATGTATCTAAAGTTATTTAAAGCAAAGATCAGTGAAAAGGTTCCTGCAGAGACTAGTTTTGTTTCTACCTTCAAAACGTTTATTTAAAAATAATTAAAATGTTTTGTGTTTTAGAGTGAGATACGTTACCTGTGGATCCCAGCTGCAGCCACCAGTAAACCTCTAAAACCTAAAACTGTCCGGAGGAAGGGGATGATGATGTCATCAGGCGAGGCCACGCCCACCGGAAGCTGCAGAGGGAAACGGAAACAGCTGACAGACGTTTCTGCAGCAGAGCTCAGCAGCTCTGATATTAATAAAAACAGCTGCTGGTTTCATCATTTCCATCGACTCAAAATGAAAAGTTCTGGGTTTCATCCAACAGAACAGATGACCCGGAGCTGGAGCCCCTCACTCTGCTCTGATACTGGTCACCATCCAGCCACCTCTGACCCTTGACCCCAGTGGGGTCAGGAGCTGCTGCCTCTCCAGCCAACGTTTCGGGCGAGAGGCGGGGTCACCTGCACGTCGTCGGTCTGTCGCAGGGCAGAATCATTAATCATTGGAGTCTCGTCGCCGACAGGAAGAGACAGGAAGCCCCTCAACAAACACCTGGACAGGTGAGGCTCTTCAGTGAGACCTTCCAATAAAAATGCCCCGGCTCATTGGACTGAACCGGTTCTTGGTTCTCATTCTTGGTTCTCGGTTCTCGGTCTGGTTCCACCCGGTGCAGGAGTTTCTGTAAACTGTATTTTCCTTCCATTGGTGGCTCTGAATAAACGATGTTTGTAAAAATATCAGCTGACAGTGAAGCTGAATCTGTCAGTGGTGATGAAACTAAAGTGTTGAAACACATTCAGGTGTTTGTGGTACCAGACGACCCGGTTCTGTTGGGTCCCACTTCTCCCTCAGAAACCTAAAAATCAAGTCCAGTGATTTAACAGGGAGTTTCCATAGCAAGCAGTGACTCATGATGTTTCATTTCAGCCTGAATTTATTTCCTTTCTGACTCGGTTTTTCTCCCACAGTCAACACTGGGAACCAGTTTAACTAACTGGTTAAACAACTATCAAGATCTAAACACCAACATGTATTTTATCCAGAAACTGTCAGAGGTTTGATTCCCTTCCCCACTTCCTGTCCAGGTACAGTTTAACGTTCAGCACTGAAGGTCAAAGGTCAGAAAACAACAAGCAGCCGCCGCTCTGCTTTCAGCCGCAGGAAACTCCACTGATAAGAGCAGCAGAGTTTCTCCCAGCAGGTCCAGTTCCCAGCAAGTCCAGTTCCCAGCAGGTCCAGTTCCCAGCAGGTTCCAGTTCCCACTAGTGTGTCTGAGGAAAGATTTATGTCCCATTAACGACAAATTAATGGATAAATCTGGACAACATGAGAGTTTAATCTTTAAAAAAGTTTCCTTCAGTCCTAGATGATAGATAGATAGATAGATAGATAGATAGATAGATAGATAGATAGATAGATAGATAGATAGATAGATAGATAGATAGATAGATAGATAGATAGATAGATAGATAGATAGATAGATAGATAGATAGATAGATAGATAGATATTATTTCATATTCTGTTTGTTTTATTCTGTTTCCTGTTTTAATAAAGTTATTAGGAGAAAAGCAAAGCATGAGGACAGGAAGCAGAACTACTGCCTGAACAATCTACATGCACTTCAAAATAAGAGCGTAAACTAAAACATGAATTACCTGAAGCAGGTTTATGATGTTAAACTGTATTTCAGTGAATGTTTATAAAACAGCCAGTTAAATTAGCGCTTTAGCATTTATCTGTTAAAATGAGACAGGAAGCTAAGTGTGCTAACATTTTCAAAGTTAGCTAAATGCTAAAAATGACCTTAACCTGAACATAAACATGTTTATGTAACAATCTGAATCGTCTTCTTAACATTTTAAAACGTCACATGTTGAAATATTTGTGTTTGGAGTTTCAGTGAAATCACCTGCAGAGACGAAACCTGGAGGAATCGTCACAAATTCATCACAAATTCATCACAAATTCATCACAAATTCATCACAAATTCATCACAAAGTCGTCACAAATTCATCACAAATTCATCACAAATTCATCACAAATTCATCACAAAGTCATCACAAATCACTGAACCAATGTTCCACCAAAGTTACCAAACATTTGTTCTGGGTTCTGTCTTCTTGCATAACGCTGCAGTTTGTTGGACTTTGCTGCACATCGATCTGTTGCCACACTGAGAAACATTCAGTCACATTCAGGAGTCCAGAGAGAAACTGGGATCAAATCAGAACGTCGTGTTTTTTTGCTCCTTTCATTGTTGAATTTGGACGACTTTCAATCAGATTAGGTCTCAGTTAAAGCAGCCACAGGTGGTCAAGGTGAGCACATCGACAGGAAACCAGGAGATGAAGACGATGAAGACGCTGCTGCTGCTGCTGCTGGCTGCGGCCGATGCTAAAGTCTTTGAGCGCTGTGATTGGGCGCGCACCTTGAAGGCCAATGGCATGGATGGTTACCGCGGCATCAGCCTGGCCAACTGTAAGTACAGAACCATCGACTGTTAGCATCAGTGGGAGTCAGACGTGTCTGTCATGAAGCTGCTTGTTCTCCTTCATCTTCACTCCTTTCATGAAACATTTCCTGGTTTTCAGAGACGTCATCATCAAAACAACTCTGATTGGTTGGCAAATGGATCATTTTTGCTGCAAGTTCAGGTTTAAGAACGACGTAGATGTTGGTTGGTTCTCTCTTTAGTTGGATCTGCAGCAGCAGCTGCTGCAGTCTGGTCAGTTCAGTCGCCTGCAGCACCAGAGAGTCACCAAGAACTGGACCTTAAAGTGAGAATCTCTCTCTGGATGGAGTCTCCATGTTCTTCCTTTGCATTTCTTGGTTTTCTGGTTTCCTGGAGACGTCTAGATGCATCTAGACGCATGTAGATTCCTCCAGGTCGTGTTCAGCTCATTGTTAGTTGAGTTTCCAGTCTCGTCATCGTCCCTTGCTCAACGATCTTTGGCGATAGACTCCAGTTCCCATCCAGGGAGACGGATGATTTTGTTATCCAGTGTTCAGTCTTTACCCAACCGATGCTGAATCTGGTGTTTCCTGATTGTCCGTAGGGGTTTGCCTGACCCAACACGAGTCATCCTTCAACACCAGAGCCACCAACCGCAACACAGACGGCTCCACCGACTACGGCATCTTCCAGATCAACAGCCGCTGGTGGTGCAGAGATGGCGGCGGAGTCTCAGCATCCAACGGATGCGGCATCAGCTGCAGCCGTAAGCGTTGAATCCTCATGTTTTCTCTGGGATAGAAAGTAAAAGCAGAACTTCCAGTTTTGAATCTTCCTCCAGAACTGCAGACAGACGATGTGACCGCGGCGATCACCTGCGCCAAACGCGTCGTCAGGGACCCAACGGGATCGCAGCATGGTGGGTCATGTGATGCAGTGATGGTGAGACTGCTTTACTTTGATTGGACCGTCATTGGTAACAGTGTTTTGGCTTCAGGGTGGCCTGGACGAAACACTGTCAGAACCGAGACCTGAGCAGCTACCTGAGGGGCTGCAGACTCTGACCTGGACCTGAAGACCAGAACAACCTTCATCCTCTGACATTATTTTAGGGATCCTAAAATAACATTTCAATAAAACAAGTACATCCCCACTGACCACTGCATTCACTGACTGATGCATTCACTGACCGCTGCATTCACTGGTGCATTCACTGACTGATGCATTCACTGACCGCTGCATTCACTGGTGCATTCACTGACTGATGCATTCACTGACTGCTGCATTCACTGGTGCATTCACTGACTGATGCATTCACTGACCGCTGCATTCACTGACTGATGCATTCACTGACCGCTGCATTCACTGACCGCTGCATTCACTGACTGATGCATTCACTGACTGATGCATTCACTGACCGCTGCATTCACTGACCGCTGCATTCACTGGTGCATTCACTGACTGATGCATTCACTGACCGCTGCATTCACTGATGCATTCACTGACATTCACTGACTGATGCATTCACTGACTGATGCATTCACTGACTGCTGCATTCACTGACCGCTGCATTCACTGACTGATGCATTCACTGACCGCTGCATTCACTGACTGATGCATTCACTGACATTCACTGACTGATGCATTCACTGACTGATGCATTCACTGACCGCTGCATTCACTGACTGATGCATTCACTGACCGCTGCATTCACTGACTGATGCATTCACTGACCGCTGCATTCACTGACCGCTGCATTCACTGAC